CCAGTTCTCTAGAGAAAATAGTTTTCACATATCAGTAGTCCAACATCTACAACATGCTGATTTTGAAATCTAGGCACACGGAGTTGCTCTGCAACTTTCTTCAGAGGAACTCAAGTTCACTTCCTGCAAACAGCAATGTCTGACAAGACACTGAATCAGGTGAACCTCTCTGGGCTTAAACAAAGACTCAAAAAGATTGCCAAAAAAGCAGTACTTCTCCCTTTGTATTAATTTTAAGGCTGATCCCCGGTTAATATTTAGCACAGTCACATGGCAGTACCACTGTTCATGTGTTGCAGGCTTACAAAGCATGGTGATGAACCCAAGACAAACATCTTGTCCTAACCGCAGACTCAATCTGTCCCCCTTAATAACTGGTGACTTGTGCTGCACTGTGTCCTCCACAGAAAAGACAAGTATCCCAAGATGCTTCTCCAAAGCATAACTGGCCTGTAATGCCATATTTTGGTTGGTATACTATTAATTGCCTAATTAAAAAAAAAAACCACGAATTTGACACATTTTAACACTGTTTTAAAGCAGAGTACAACTGTCACACTGCTGGATCAAAATTATCGTCCCTGCATTAACAATTTGGGTAAGGTACTGAAAAAACCAAGCATAAAGTGTACAGGAAAAAAAAATCTTTCAGCGATCTCAAATAGCAGCACACAATCTCTAGGTTCTAGAGATTTTGGTTTATTCCACGGTTATTTGCTGCAATAAGTGTTTCAGATCAGATGTGCAGCCCCTCATTGCACGTGTGACCTTGTGCTAAAAGCCTGAAAGCTCCAGGAGGGTATTTTCTGCCTTCTGCACTGATTCCTAAAGCTGTTAATAAACCCTGAGTCCTGTTATATGTGATGATTGTAATTCGCGCCAATATAATATTGTTATATTTGATTTAGGAAAGTATGGCATGATATGTGCAATATTTTATATTGTTGCAAGCACACACGCCAGCACTGAGAGCTGCCCGCACATATCCGAAACCGGTTTCTGACAAAAAGTCATTTGCAATCTAATAGATGAGGCTCGCCCGGAGGTGGGCTGTTCCTCGAGGTGATACAGGAACGCCCGGCGCTGATCATCCTGGCAACGACCCTAGACTGGGACCGCTGGAATCCTCCGGGCTGGTACATCTGAAAGCCAAGGTTCCTGTAAAATCGCCCACACCTGGACCCGGATCGTTCAACCACGCACAGAGAAAGTAAACTTTATGAATATGAGGGACTTTGAATGCGAAGAAAAGACGGATTGCTGAAATCCCGGCCTCGGGCAGAAAATTTGCTATAAGAACTGCTTGTTCCAAGAGGGCGGTGTGCGTGTCCAGGGGAGCCTCTGCCGAGAGCCGTCCTTCTCCTGTCACGCACCCAGCGCGACCCCGGGCTCGGCACTGTCCTTTTCCTTGTGGCTGCTTCAGAGAGAATTCGATATAAAATAATTTTTTTTTCATTTTTAATTTGGCTGGACCAATTTTTATCTCTAACAGTCCCTGTTATGAACAAAACAGCCTGGCTGGGACACTTGGCTTGGGCTAAGTACTGACATTGAAATGTTAATTAGCTAATTGCTCCTGGGAATCACCTACCTCCCCCCACCCTCACTACCATTCTAGGACTGGGATGCAAAATAATCCAGTGGAATCATGGGAGGGCCTTTTGGGGATGAAAAACACCCCTAAATGGAAAAGATGGGCACAGTGGAGGGGGCTGGATGGGTGTGCTCGTTGGGGAAAAGGGAACTCCATCCCTAGTCTGTGTTTGACCTGTCACCATAACCTCCAGAGGACCAGACTGGACTGGGCTGTGGGAAGCAGGAGTAAAGGAAAAACACACTTCCTGGGGCTACCAAGAGGTGCTACCAAGAGGGAAGGAGAGGGGACAGCTGCTGGGACTTCAGATATGGACTGCACACCTCTTCACCTCCAGCTACCAGCATGCCACGGGGAGCCCTGCCGAGCTGACTATTAAATAAAGGCCTAGACCCTGTTCATGTCAGTCCCAAGTGCAGGAGTATCATTCCTGTGGCTGCTGGAGGGGAAATTAGCGCCAGGGGCTGTTTGTCCTGCGGCGTTGCCCAGCCCAGCAGGAAGGCTGGCTCATGCCCCTGAGCCCGCCATTCCCGGGTCCAGCACCTCAGCCCTGGCCCTGCTGCACTCCCCGCCCAGCAGCTGAGCTTCCTGCGGCTGGAGGAAACCTGCTGGAGCTGGCTGGGCAGCACAAATACGCTGCAGCTGATTGTCCTTTCTGTGTGGGCTGTGGGGATGGAAGCCGCTGGTCCAGCACATGAAAGCTGGATCCAGAAACGGCCTGGAGGAAAAGAGGGAAAAGGAAGCGCCCAGGAGCTCCCACTGCCCCAGCTGCATCCGTCCCCTCCCTCTCCCATTTCCTCACATAAAACGCTGGACAGAATATTTTACTGATTTGTTAAATTATGTTGAAAGGCTCTTCCCCTTCCTCACTGAAGACACAGCCCTTCAGTTTTGCAATTTATTTCAATATCTTTTATAAAATGCATATTTTATTGTTAATTAACAGCTCACTGTATTGCTTTCCACAAACTGATCTTTATACAGCAATTCTGTTTCACGGGATCCCTTCCATCTTGCTGGAAGCATTTTAGAAAATTCATTAGAAGACAGTAAAATAGCTGCAAGCTTCAGCTTTTTTTTTTTTTTTTTTCTGTTTTCTGGCAACAAATAGAAATGTGTCTTAAATTGGAGACTCCTTGCAGCCTTTTCCCTTTACTAGGATATCTGTTTTACAGTCTTTATACTCTCTTCATTTCTCATAATAAAATTTGTTACTATGACAAAAAAAAAATCCACTAAAAATTATAAACTGTTCTAGTTATTCAGTTGTTCCATGACCCAGCCATCAAGATTTGAGCTTCAACGTATTTTTGGAAGTACTGAAGGAAGATAACTTGGGTACATTTTTAGACAAGCCAATTTACTTTTGCAATTTTTACAACAGTCGATTTGACATTACAAGAAACCCTTGACAGACCATAGCCAGAATACTAAGGAAAGCAGCAAAATATCTGATCATTATCTATAGATAACAGAGCACAAGGTTCCCTGTCGAGTCATCAGGAGAGACACTGGCGCAGGTCAGGCACAGTTTAAGTGCCCCAGTGGGGAAGATGGAGGGGATGCAAGGGAGATGGGAGATAAAAACAGACCATATTCTGTTAGTCATGGAACTGCTTGTTCAAACAAGAATCCAACAGTCTCTATCTCTGCCTAGTTACAGCATTTCCAAAGTTATTGAAAATTAAAAATAAGAGAAGATACAGCTCAAAAATCCCAATCCGGAAAAAGTTAAGGTACTGTTCAGATTTTGCACCATGTATGAGCACAAAGCAAAGGGAATTAGAGGGTCAGCAGGCCTGTAGGGAATCTCCCTTGCTATTTAGTAAATACTTTTAATTCTTTATAATACCATGGTAAGCTTATTGAGCCGCAATCCTTGTGACTGCTTTGTAACATTGTAACTTCTAAACTGCTACCCAGTTTACGGATTTTAAAAACTGCAAAATGCTGCATTTTTAGATGTAGATCTGAAGATGAAGTAGGATCTTGTGGTTTATACACAAACTGAGTATCCAGAAATGCAAACAGAAATTCAAAAGAGGAGAGAGACTGCTCACCTCCCTTAGGAATCTACTCAGTAATCTTTACCAAATAATTTAATCTTTCTATGCCTTCATTTCCCATATATAAAACAGGGTAATACTTGCTGTAAAGGATAAAAGCTGTCACATGTCTTTTTAAAAACTGTCACAGAAAAAACTCTAGTTATAAAACAACTTGTTGCAAATATTAAGGAAAACATTAATTTTCTGTTATCCAGAGCAAAATTTACCCAAATATTCTCAAACATTTTATCTGCTAAGCAGTTTCATTCTTTATATAGGAAGTGATACCACCAAGTCCACACCTTTACCTCTTTTTAAATTAGCTTTATAAATTTACTAGTTCAGTAAGTTTGTACTACATTATCACGACAGAGACAAGAAGATTCAGACATACAACTCATACCCCTACCTGAGACTACAGCTTAGATCACCTGTCAAATTTTGAGCAAAGTATGAAGGATTCATGTTTCACTGACTTACATTTAGTATGGCAAATAATGACAATTACATGTACATAAGCACATACATGTTCATAAACCAGACAAAGACAGAAGTCCTATGGCAAATGCAGTGACTATATAATCCATTATAATTTTTTGGCTTAGAGTCTTTTCCAGTGTTAAAATACACTCAATCAAATCAGATTATTGATTTCTTTAACTTTCGTATTAAACAAATCAAACAAATTTTGTGAGGAAGACCTCACAAAAAGGTATGACAGTTAACAGATGATGCCAGCCTGGACTGTGACAATCCATCACACATCAGTATGAGCAGGGCTCTGGCACTGAAGCCTGAGCTGTTGAATCACAGAGGCTGGAAAACTGTCTAAGGCATAGCACCGCTCACCCAGAGAGGGTGTGGGGCACAGCAAAAGGACTCTTGGCATCATTCTCAGGGCAATATTTTGTCTCATGCAAAGACCGGCTCCAACAAGTTCTGAAGGAAGCTGTGCTCAGGCCTTCTCTGCAGGGGAACACATTTTGTGCCCTTGATGGGACTCTGGGGAGGAGTTCAGCAGATGCCTGAGATAGCTCTATACCTAAGCAAAGTGAGGTGAATGCGTGACTACATCTCTGTGTATGAAAAGAATAAACAGGAGCAGTTAACATGAGAAAGAAGATGGATAAAATTTCTGTGAAAAGATTAAATAAGACAGGGATAGAAGAACTGATGTATGATTCCATCTTCTCCTTAGAAAACAAGAAAAAATAATCTTGCAAGTAAAAGTATCTTTATTTTCTCACTTGACAGTATTGGAGATGATATCCTCTAAGATGTGAGCCTGAAAAATTAATTCCATATTAAAAGAATAAGATCTTTTACAACTCTGACAATAACATCACAAAACTCAGACCACTAATTAAGTTTACTTTATTTCATTTAATATTGCATGCATTTTAGACAGTGATTCATATTATTTACTTGCACAAGTAGTCATTCTCAATGTACAAGTAATAACCATTGCTTTTACAGTGGAATTCATTAGCATGCACTTCACACAATTGTGTGTAAAGTTATTTTTCCCAGTTAGAAAATATTACGGTAATTATTTCTAAATTGATTTTATACATGGAGTTTAATTTTGGTTTTATGCAGACATTGCATAGTTGATGCTTAGCTTCTCCAGAAAGACTGGAATGTGGTACCAGTATTGTTGAAACAGATTAAGTGACAGTAGCAAACAAGAAGATTTGAAGAAGAGGCATAACTTTCAGGGTTGAAAGGTCAGCAAGTACAGCCTAGGATTAAAACCAAAAAGGCTGGTTAAATTTGACATTTGAATCAAATTTCCTTAAAGCAAGTTAAGAAGTCAGGAAAATATTCAAATACTGACTACAATATGCCAATAATTAGATGTGGACATGGCTAGAAACAAATTATACTGGTTTATGTTAGTACTGTATGGCATAAATTCTCATTCTAACATTTCAAAGAAAAAAACACATTTACCCAATGTATAGTATGTAACTTTATTTTAGCCTTTAGCCTTACTTCAAACATACAAGGCATCATGGGTGAATAAGGAGTCTAACATTTCAACTTGTTTCTAAAAATAATTGGGAATTAAGAATCCTTATCCTGTGGCTTGGCTAGTACTTGTGAAGTAAGTCCAATTTAATGCCTCAAATAATCAATGTCTTCTCATGAAAGTATATTTTTAAAAAAAGCCAAAGAAAGTGATCACAAACTCTCTAAATCTGGAAAAAATCAATCATTGTATTTTTGAAAAAAAAAAAGAGAAAAATTAACACGTGACTATATATAGTAATAACCTTTATGTTAGTAACTTCATTTTCTTCATTTCCTACGGCAGTACGCACACTGAATTTTCAGATTCACACTGACAAAGTAATCCTGTAAAATTTTTGTAATTTGTAGAACAGAAGTAATTAAAATGTACTGAGGAAAAGTATTTCAAAAACAATATATCCCACTAACACAGATTATATATTAAAAAAAACTTAACTGTAAAAATAATTTTATAACACTGCATTTTTACAGCAAATATGCTTTATTTCCTTTTACTCCAGAAAAGCAACATTATGTACTGCATGTTCACAATTTCCTTATTTTTTATCTAAGATAAGAATTTAGACAGAAAGATTTGCACTATGCACCATGTGCCATGTGAAGCTTTAGTTACTCCTACTGGCAAAGCATCAGAAACTATTTCAATCTCCCCTAAGTGAAACTTATCCTTACTTCAGCTGCAGCCAGTGATGTCACCTCCATCAGGTTGACTGCTCGGAAAGCAAAGACAGCAGCTGCCAGGACTGAAAGAAAATATCAAATATTTAGGTTTCTGACCTGATAAGTAGTGGTTAGAATTAATCTTGATATAAAATACCAATTTTCACTTAGTTTAATTATTTTGATTCTGAAGAATAATATACAACACATGGCCATGTTTGAGTTTCATCGACCACTCTTTCAAACAGGAAAAACACAACAGGAAAACAACAACTTTCAGGAAAGTCTGAGTCAAAATGCCTGAGTTTAAGATGAATAGCTTTTAATTAAAAGGGACAAGCTTTCTTACATGTACAAATGAAACCAAAACCTTTTCTCTTCTACTCACCTCCTTTGTATTTAGAAACTGACTCAACTGAAGATATATGTTTCCTTTAAAACCTCCATCTTAAATCTTCCTAAATATGAGGACATTATTTAGCTACAAAACTTTCAAAGTGTCTTAAAAGATGCCACTTCAATGGAAGAAATCCAACAAAATCAGGGGGACTCTCAATTGCTTTAAGTACTGTAGAGGTAGCTGCCATAACTAACACAAATCTTGTACCTTGTGAAAGGTGATGAATTCATTTGCCACTACCACTCAAGTTGGGAGAACATCCTGTGTTCTGTTCAGAGAGCATTCAGCATTTTTTGAGTATTGCCATTAAAAAAATTACCTGATATATTTTTTATTAAAGATGCAGTACTCATGCAATTCCATTTTTCTAGATGATATATGCTTTGACATGTATGTAACCTGCTGTCTGCATTCAAAGAGCAACTATTTTCTTCTCATCACAAAATACATTGAAGCTAATGAGTATTTGCCTTACATTCACACAGACTTCACATGTTTTTGTAAAAATAATTCTTTTACCAGCAAGAATTTCTAGAGAATTGTATCCCAGGATTCTGTCCCACAGAAGCAAGAGCTGGTCTGTAGCTAAATAACCAGAAAATGCTCGTACCATCCATTTAAATGAAATTCGTAGCCTGCAAACAAGTGACAAACAATGGTTATTATATTTCTGCCTCCCATAATGATCAGATTGTCTATAAATTGAAAATATTCATTATCCTTCTGCATTTCTCTTCTTTTCCAGGAAGAATAAGCATTTTCTATTGCTGCAGTAATAATCAGTATTTTAATTTGCAACAGCCATCATAAAATTATTTGGCATCTTATTTGATAAAGTACTAATATGATTCTCATAATAGTTCTGATGAAACAATCACATTAGAGTGATCTTCAGCTATTATCACCCTCAATGTTTCATCCTTTCTACTATTATGCTATTAAGATGGATACCAATTAAGACAAAAAGGTTTTCAGGTTCTCTTGTGCCTGGCGCCATGAATTCACTATTAAATGACTCTTGCTCTCTTGCCTCTTCCAGTATCTTCTGCTGCAACTAATACATCTCTGTGTCTTTTGTCTCCTAGGAAACACATAACTTAATTCCATCAGATACAACAGGAATTGCTGAAACTTAGCTGAACAGTGCAGCATAGAGCATTTCTCACAGAGCAGTTCTCTCTTTTGCAGAGCATACAGGAGAAATGCTAAAGCACAGTTTCTCAGGTTATACAAAGCACTCCATCTGACTCTCAAGGAAAAATGGAGCACTGATGGTTATACTTTTGTGTAATTTCCTACAGATCTTCAATTAAAACACTACAGAACAGCATTTTCAGAATAACGAATGTGCATTTGTTTATACTGAAAAAAATTTGTTACAAAATTTGAATATTTGTAACAAGTCAGAAAGAAGTACTTACGGCTGAGCTCCAATTTCTCGGAGGTGATAGAAGAGCTGGGGCAGATGGGTTTGTAGAAGAGTCTCAAAAAGCAAACACAATGATACAATGCCCTAAAGAAACAAGATCATATAATGAATAATAATACTCATCCTGTCAAATCCGAGAAAACAGTAGCAGCATGTAAGTGTGTATGAATTTTTAATTCAAGCAATAAAACACTAAGAGTGATATAGTATTCAACTCAGTTGAGAAAGGCACAAGCAATTCTAATACCTTCAGTCACTAAAGCCTTGCTCCTGCAATTCCATGTATGTATTAGCAACATAATATGTTGTGATATTCCTCTGCAAGTCCCAGTTACTTATGGTGTTTGTATGTCAGGGCTGAAGTACTTAATGGGTCATTATAATGTAAACCTACTTGAAATATTTCCACTTTGATGAAACAGACCTCAGTTGCACTAAAAAATAAAGGATGTGAGAAAAAGTATCTCTCTGATAAGTAAAACCAAACAGCAATAGAGAAAACCATGAAAATAGTTAAACATAAACACACTTTAAAAATAGTTTCAAAAACTGCCATGGAAATTGATAGATTCTTGTTTGACCGCTTTCTCTGTTATTAAAGATGGAAAGCACAATACATAGCCTTGAAATATACTAAGGATAGCGTTTTCTTTTAACCAGGAAATATTTTCAAAAAGCAATATAACTCTTCAGTACTTTTTGAAGGAAAAAAGAAGTATCTACTTTGTTTTATTCTTCACAAATAGAAGACAAGCCAATTGTAACAACTCTTGTACACTGAAGACAGCTGGTCTTGGTCACAAACAGACAAATTATTTAAACTCATCTCGTAGTACTAAAAAGCATGTGCTGTCATACCAAGATTCTTCAGTTAAAGAAACAGACACTAACTTGGTATCACTGATATCTCTATACATATATTTTAGTCCCTTTACCCCAGACAATATTTCGGAGTCCATTTACATGTCTTTAATGAAAGTGAATTTGTGTGACTCTTTGAACTGAGAAAGCTATTGGATTAAAAAACTTGACACTTATAAAAGACCCCACACCCTCATAAAATGAGTACTTACTATTTTAATAAGGTACATGATCGCAAAGACTAACACTGACATAGAAAACAACAATATCCAGACTGGAACGACCTAATAATTTTCCCAAGTTTGCCTGAAATATTTTAGTATATCTAAAAGGATACATTTCAATCACATTGAAAACAATGCTGCTGTATATTATTGTTCTGTAGCAAACAGGATATCAAGTGAGTGGATTTAACTCCTAATGAACTTACAGAGGGATGAGAAGAGATGGAATGGAGTCTGAAGAAAAAACGCACATACATCTCACGGAATATCTGATACAATTTGGAAGGTTCATGGTACAGAAAACAAAGTGGAGCAACTGAAAGGATAAAAGAATTATAATTGACTCAACACTGTAAACTGCTAAAAGAGTTCAATGATTAAGCACATGAAGTATGAGGTAAAATCAAGTAATTTATAGTACCACAACTAACAAAAACAGTACTAAACCAATTATTGAGAAAGAAGTATTCAATCACAGTCTATCATTTAATGTAAAAAGTCAAAAAAGGGAGTATGATACATTCTAGATATTATTCCTACATATTTCAAGAGGCTAAACCAATTAGAACCTACTTACTACAGTGCTGGCTTCAGAACCGTAGGAAATATGCTTATGGAGAAATATGCTTATATGCTCTGTAAGGAGAGCACCCCTAAGGTGTAGGGCAATGTGACCAGTGCAAGTTTTTGATTAAACTGTCTCTAGCTTTCAGTGTTCTGGGGCCAGTGACCAGCTTCAAATTGATGCCCTATTTGTAAGGCTGCTTGAAGACAGATATTGTGAAAATGAAAACATTGAAGTAACAGCTCTTGGTTGCCACAATAACGTCACTAAGTATGACAAACTCATAGAGACATGTTTATTTCTTACAAGATCTGTAAACCATGGACATTTGGTAGTTCACTGTTCAGAAGTCTTCTAATAGATCTGATTCAAAATAATAATTGATTATATGTGTAAAACAGCAGCTTTGAAACTTGGCTTGTTTTGTAAGTCTTGCATATAGTTAAATCTGCTAGATGTACATTATATCTGGTATATGTAATTTGTGCTGCTCAAATAGAACCATCATTCCTTGAGACAGTCCATACACTCAATGCATTCTCACAGACAGCTGTCACACCTTTTTGTGAACAGCCTTTTGATCTGACTCCTTCACTTTACAGGTGCAATCATTTTAGCTCACAGTTTAACACACTCAGTTTCTATCTCTACATTCACCTTCCCCTCCATTTTATTTACACTAAGCTAGGGATATTGATATATTTATCTGCATATGTATGTACACATACACAGATATATGTACATTTTATATATATATAATATACTGATATATGCACATGTGAATTTGTTTTCATATCTAAGAATCAGAGAAGGTGGCTTAAAAACAAAAATGGTGTCTGTGTATGAGAGGTGGGGTGCTAACGTAGGGTGAGATGTTCACAGAAACATGTATTTCCATAGGGGTAAGAAAAGCAAAGGGTGTTACCTGTGCTCATGGTTTTAACGTTTGAAGATGGAGGTGGAAAACTTGTCAGAGTGCTCATGTACATAAAGGCCAGGAGGGTAACAGAACAGCCTCTGACAGCTGGCACCCTGACAGTGTATGCATGCAAACAGGAAAAAGGGTATAGGGTTTTCATAAGGACCCAGACACTTCCTCACATAGCAGCACAGCATGGAATAGAGCAGATGCTCTGCTTGGTCCCAGCCACTGCACCCACAGTCTTAGGCTACATAACCATCTTTCTGCTGCCTTGCTTTTCACCCTTCCTCTTCTCAGAGCCAGCATATTCTGAGCCTGTGCAAAGAGCAGGGACAGGAAGGAGGGAGGAAAACTCACACCTCTGATTGGGAGACACTGTTCTCAAAGGCAGAGTCAAATCCAAACATTTTGAAAAGCAGTTCACACAGAACAAGTGAACATCTCTAAGTGAGTCCCTAAGGAAGATTATGTAAATTAAGTGCTCATTATTCCAAAGACTCTGGATTCCCTACTCAGGTTCAAATTTGCATTTAATATTTCAGTTTCATTATTTTAATGATTGTGTGTGATCATTAAACTTCATTATTATCAAAACATAGCATTTTAAGTATAATCTTAAAACTGCTTGCCCTGTGATGCTATGAACACCTTTGATAAATCAAAAGAAAAAACTGAAAAGCCAAAACATCTAATCTCACATCTGAAATAGCTGCAATACATCTGTAACCCCAGATTTTTCTGCTTTTTTTTGCTAAAAATCTTGTTGATATTTGTGCTTTCCTCTATGCAGTAAATTAGCAAGCATTTTATTATGTAATGCTCTTTTAACACCTCTTGTAGGTAAATGTAGAGAACAACAGGCTTTTCACATTATTTATGTTTTTAACAACTTTTTTCATGGTAACTTTGTCTCCCAGAAGTGAAACACAAGAAAAGAGCACTTAGTTGCTAAACTTTATCCCTCTACTCATATACATTAAGATGCGTAGCTTAGCTCAACTATTAGCTCTTAAAGAAGGAATTCCCTCATGGCAGCAAGCTGTAATATGAGTAAATAAAACATCCTGAAATTTAAAAAATTAAATTCAACAATCTTCATACACAAAAAAACATTAAAGTAAATGCACAAGTTTAAAAGTTACAGAAAAGTATATACAGCCTTAAACTACAATATGAGGAAAAGCAATCCTAAGGTTTTAGCTTATGAGAGTCACACTTACCATACATAGAAAAGCCATGAAAAGGAATTACACCTGCAAAACAAAAATATTTCTTTTTTTGTTCTTTAATAATCCTCTTTATGCAGGCAAAAATATTATGCCCACTCACATTATCAAATTGTATTCTGCCTACATCAGGAATAAAGTATTTCCTTGTTATTGCACCTGCACAGATCTCCATCTTGTACATACATAAGTACAGTTTTGCCTATGTCAGTACAACCAAAGACATGCTTAAACACAAGTTCCTAGAAAGTCAAGTAAAGCTCCATTTCCATGAAGTTGTTACACAGAGGCTTTGCTGATATCAGAACCTAATTTCAGACAAATGACAGCCCATAAATGTCATGCACTGACAAGAACGGGGCCAGAAAAAAAGGAGGCCAAGACCTCTAGTAATTCATGTAGTACTCAGACAGAACATTCACAGTGCTTGGCAGTTGTAGCATGACAGCTCACTCCTCCTTCCTAGCTGATCTTAGCTCCCATTCACTAGATTTTATATAAGACTGGTAAGAGGCGGCTGCTTTGGCAAAGATTGTAAGAACAATGCTTCATGGCAACAAAGCTACAAGAATTGCAGAGGCAAACACAGAAAAAAGTGTAACAAAAGTATATACTGCAACTGACTCCACTGAAATACAGAAGACATAAAAGACAAGGCCAGAGACAGATTTAAGATTGGTGACATAAGGCCTTGAAAGCAAGAGGAAAAGGCTTGAACTTGAAATATAAATGGAGGGAAAGGATTTAATAAGGGATTGAAATGGTCAAGGTAAGAGCTGAAAAAAACACTTTTAATAGCTGAAGTTATAACAACAGCAATGATATGAAAATGACATAGATCTGTTGTGTCAACACACATTTTGAAAGGAGAAGACTTTAGGGTGTGGTTTGTTAAGTACTGAAAATCTGGGAGGTCAGCCAGTTTCAGCATTTATCATTCAAATCCTCTAAGTGCTGATACAAGACTGAATACAAGCTGCTGTACCACAAGTTATTTTCCTTCTCCTTCCCACACACAAACTCTGTGATCACTAACACCAGGCTGAATGCGGTTTTGGAGTAGCTTCCATCCAGCTTATTCCTTTAATTTAATGAATTTCACAGAGTAATAGCAAAACAATAACTTGTAATAGAAAAAGAAAATATCACATATTTGAGAATAAAAATCTTTCCAAACTACCACTAGAGGAGGCAATAGTATAATTCATACCATTTGGAGGATAGAAAACAGCATATTCTTCCATTCCAAGTTTTCCTGTGAACCGTCAAACCACAAAGAAAATATCATTAAGCTGTAAAAAGGTATAAAGATTTAAACAATTTAAATTAAAAAGTAGATTTTAAGTTACAATTACAAAAATCATAACTAATTACATTACTGACTATCTGACATTGTCTAAAATGTGGCATGAAATGCAATGGGACAGGTACAATATCAGATATAAAACTGAAAGGCAGCACCAATACAGAAGGATGACAAATAACAAAAAAGAGGAGGAAAAGTTCAGCAATACTGTTCCATTGAGACTCTATTTGGGTGTGTCTTAGGAGCTCTAAAGTTTGCTGCAGACATGGAAGACAGTGAAACTCTAGGAGGGATTAAGGACAGACTGACCTAGGGACAGGAAAGGCCATCAAACAGATACAAGCAGAGATAAAAAATATTCAAGGCATCATTAGGTCTGTAACAGAGGAAGATGGATGTTCTGATATAAAAAATAAATATTTAAATAATTGGCCAGATACAAAAGAATTAAGTCAAGAAAACCACTGATCATATAACGTTTTAATCTTCCTGGCAAAATGAACACATTATATTATTAAACCATATTTTACCCATATAAATTAATAATCCAAAATACATAAATAAAATTTAAACATTTATTTAGAAATATAAAAGTATTATTAAACATAATTACAACTAATTAAAACTTGCAATTATTTTAGTTCTAAAATGAGAACATTCAAGTAAAAATTTAATTAATTACATGAAAATTTATAGAATATTCTGTGTACTCTATTTACTTTTCACAATAGAATTTAGCACATGGAACTTTTGTCAGGTTCAATGGAATCTGGATCTTGATATTTTCCTATAGCATGAACTGACTAATATGAAATAAAAATTGACCTCCAAAATTCCTGCCTACAACCCCATGAAAACAAAATCCAGTATTTTTCAACTATATAAATGAGTTGTTTCATTAAACTAAAAATTATTTTCTCCTTTTCCTTTCAACAGGTTGCTTGTTGTGCAGCCAGGAATTATAATCTGGAAGGATGAGTATTTTTAGCATAAAGCACATCTCTTGGAAAATCTGCTAAAAATAGGACATACGAGCCTTTTGGATTTGCACTGCACAGATTTAGGTATCAGCAACATCATTCTCCAGGACTTGTCTAGGAATATGCAGGATGTTCTCCATTGCTGTGTTTTTGGGCTGCCATGGCAATGTGTCTGAAGTAAGACCTGGGATCCCACTGCTGTTTTGCTCTCAGATGAGCCCTTTGCTTATTTCAGGGAGTAGGTAAAGAAAGTAAAAAAAAAGTGATAAAAAGCAAAAAAAAAAAAAAAAAAAAAAAAGAATTAAAAAATTAGAAAACAAACATTACTTATAGTGACATAAAAAGTAGCAAAATGAAAACTCTCAGCTGAGGTCCTGCACAAAAAAAGTACTTAGGAATCATATTTGGCTAAATACACCAGGCACCAGGACCAAGGAAATAAAGGGGAATGTAGAAGATTAAGGTACCTGGGAAAAAAAAAGTGATTGGATTACTGAATGACTCAAGAAGGAAGGCAAAATTAAGAACCTCTAGGTAAAATCAAGGCAGGTGAAGTTCTAAGACACATGGAAACATCCAGAAGAATGGCACAAGAAGCTGGCAGAGAAGGCAAGCGGACTGAATCAAGAAATCTAAAGATCGTTAAGAAAAATAATGAGACCTCAAGTCAAAGAACATCCAAAAATATGCTAATACTCTGGAAGGTGCCATGCTTTTTAAAAAAAATCAGTGCTAAGCATGCTTGGTAAAGCTCTACTCTCCCACCTGTTTGAACAGAGCCCACAGTTCTTTAGCAGCATGTTCTGCTCCTGTCTACAAATATTTGCAAAACTCACTGCTTTGCAAAAACAACATTCTATAACAACTTCCAGTTGCTAAATTTATTGGTGTTGCAGAGTTCAATATTGTCTATTTAAATGTCTAGTTCTGATGAAGACAGGGATTGTCATAATTTTACCATATTGTCATAGCTGTGTTTCATTTCTTCTGGTAAAACACTGCAAAACTATATACAGCAAAGTGGAGTAAAAGACAACATTGCAATCTGTGATCAGCTTCTAAACTGTCATAATAGAATCTATGCAGAAGTCAGCTGGATACAATTTTATTAACATTCTTTAAAGGGTAGTCTACTAGGTGTAATGAACACAAAGCAAATTCACATACTGTATTAGTGCATCAGTCAACAAAAATCTACATGATCTTCTTAAAACAACTCTTTTTACCTTGTATGTATGATTTGGGTGGGGTGGCACTACTGTAAGTAAAGTGCTCCAGGACAGATGTATCTCGGGAAAAACACAGCAACACCTGCAGAAAAGAAAGTCAGCTGATAACTGGGTCAAAGCAATCAAAGCAATGTCAAACAAATTTAATGTCTTAATTAGCACCTATTAGATGCTATTTAAGAGAGCCAATAAGGTTGAAAGCGCTTCACCACCTTAGTTTGCTTTCCTGCTCAAATTTCCAGGCTCGCTTTGAACTTGCTATAATTTTACATTCACCTTCATTTGTTATCAGTTTTATATCCACATTCTTCAACCTTCCTCCTTCTTCCTCAGCAGGTGTTCATCCCCTTCTGTCATCACATTAGTGACTGTATGTGTACCTGGCTGCTTCTACATCCTTTAACTGTTTTTCACCTCAGTTACTATGAACTGGGGATGTCCTAGTAAGTGAATACGTAAACTAATAATTTACAGTCTTGAATGTGTGCAGCTCTGGAAGAACTTACATTTGCTTTCATTCTCAGGATCTTTACAAAATGTTTGCATGCAATTCAGCTCTTTCAAAAAACAGATCATAATGCTCACCTTGTATCCTAAAGATCAGAAATGCACATTGTATACTCTAGAGTATATTTGGGTTTTATTGTTTACATAAATGAAAAAAAAACTGTGTTCACAGCAACTGAGTATAAAATTAAGCAGTAAAAGCATTCACAGAAAAAAACCCCACTATAAAGAATCTCATCCTATCTGGAGTTGTAAAAATGGTAGTAATTAATACTGTACTTTAAAAATCTTCATGTTTTCATGCACTGAAAGGCTGCACTGTGAAGAATGTACACAAGAGGGCAGACATAAGGCAGACTTCAACTCACTGCTGACTTCTGCATACCTGAGCCCCTCTCTTCTGCATACCTGAGCCCCTCTGATACTTGAAAACCAAGCATCACTCAGACGCTCGCTCAACCCCCTCCCTCTCCACCCCGGTGGAATAGGGAGCAGAATCAAAGTTAAACTTGTAGGCTGACATAAGAACAGTTCGGTAAGTAAATAATGGCAAATGATAATAATAATGATAATAGAAGACTAATGCCAGACCCTTCCCAAACCCAGACTGGCCACCCGATTCCAGGTAACTCCCCCCAGTTTCTATACTGGGCATGACAATCTGTGCTGTGGAATACCCCTTTCATCAGTCCTGGCTATGCTCCCTCCCAGTTTCTTGTGTGTAATTCCTCACTGGTAGAGCATGAGACAAGGAAAAAGTCCTTAGGATAAACACAACTTTCCAACACCTAAAACATCAGTATGTTATCAACAGCATTCCCATTACCAATCCAAAACACAGTCGCAGCTACTGATACAAAATAAACTCTACCCTAGCTGAACCCAGGACACCTTGCTCTTGAAGATTTTAAGAGTTTATTTTAACTGTAGTCAAGGTATAAAAGGAGGAAATGTTTCACTACATACTTTATTGTGAATAAAAATTAACGGATTTTCCCTTCCACTAATTAGTGCAAACACCTTCCACATATTGGCATTTGTCATAAGGAAACAAGCAAAATCACATATCTGACTATTATTGCTTTAATTTTTTTTTATGGAAAGCCGGTCATATTTTGAGACTTTTTTCTTTTTTGAACCTCAAAACTATTTCTCAAACACAAACATCTTTTAAAAATTAATAATACTTTATCTCAAACAGTTTAGGCTAAATATTATTTTTGTGAATACACAATCGTGTTCATAGCTGCCAAAATATCGCTGACAATAACAATGCACAGGCAAATGTAATTCTATGTGTATGTTAACTGAGGTGAACGAAAGAGAAACTAATCTGAACAGGACATAAACTATGTTCTCTCATAGGGGAAAGAATGTAACCTTCATTTGAGGCCCTCTTTTTTAGGAATACAGTGTCCAGAAACAGTATCTGGAAGTCTTTAAATGAAGACTCTGCATCTTTGTAAACAATAGACTCTAGCTCAAACCTAAGTTACGACTATACCCAAAAAACTCTGTGCAAGGTTCTTTGCACATATTCATTCTGCAGATGCAAGACTAAAGTATTCAAATGGAACTTCTGGCCTGAAATAAAGAATTTACAAATTTACTAATCCATGTGTTATTTTTCTCATTAACAAAATGATAGTGCTTAAGAAAACAATGGCACAAACCCCTTTTCAAGTACACAAATATTAACCAAATTATTGGATATTTATAATCCAACTGAAAAGAAAACCACTGAATTCAAATCATTAAGGGAAAGAAAAAAAAACCCCAAAGTCAAAGCTTTTATCAAAAAGAAATTACTTGATTAAAAATAACTGTATTTTATTTCAACAGGTATGAAGAAGTAATAAAAATAAGTAAACTTTGGGGAAAAAAACCCAAAGGTATTAAAGGAAATAAATGATGTCATTTCACAGTGTTTTTCCTGAAAACTGTTGTATACTGCTGAAAAGGTACCAATAATGACACAAAATATCCTCATCATTATTTTAAGCCCAAATTTTCTTGTTTTGATGGAAATTTCATCTATTCCACAACACACAAAGGACACACTTTGGTCAATGACTTAAGAGGCAGTAACTAGTCACGAAAAAGAGCCATAAACCCAGTGCAAACCCAGAAACAATGTATCTGGTTTAAACTAACATTTTCATTATCTATCTTATTAAGTCAATATTTAATTCCAATTATCATATTAAATCAATCAATAATATCCCACATCACAGTGACTCATACTACAAAATTTTTCCAGGGGCTATAGAACAAAATAATTTGGCAGTAAGGCATTTGCAAATTAGGTTGGAAGAGGAAATTATCAAGGAAAATTGATAACTTTTTTCTAGAGCAGAGTCTGAAGAATACCACAAAATAGCAAACATAAATAGAACAACTAATAATTAGACGTTTGAGATATTCTCTGCCTCAAAGCCCTGCAGTAAAACTAGCCACATAAGTTTTCAAAGATTTTTGGAGAGTCTCCTTCAAATTACTAAAGACAGTTCAGTCTTTTAAATGATTTTCATTCTGCAGCTATTCTTTTGGTCAGTAGAGATATAAAAAAGGGAAAACATTCAACTGGGTTATATAATGATGAGCAAAATCTATTTCTGATGGTCATAAAAGATTATATCATATACTAGTTCATACTTCTTCATAGTTTATAACCCCACATCTACTGCAAGTGTTAGTTAATGACTAATTAATGCCATGGTAGTCTACATAACAAATGAAAAATAAATAGGAATCAGATTTTCACATCTCAAGATGAAGACACAGTGTTAATAATAATGAAGACCATCTTTGACCATTAAGTCAAGAAAAACTCTTACATGTAAATATTTAGTGAACAAACATCAATGTTTGAGTTGACATTATTCAGACAGTTTGCAAATTTCACAGAATCACTAGGTTGGAAGAGACCTTCAAGATCATTGAGTCCAACCCAGCCCGAACAGCTCAACTAAACCATGGCACATCCAATCTTTTTTTAAACACATCCAGAGATGGTGACTCCACCACCTCCCCGGGCAGACCATTCCAATACTTTATCACTCTTTCTGTAAAAAACCTCTTCCTAATATCCAACCTAAACTTCCTTTGATGCAGCTTGAGACTGTGTCCTCTGGTTCTGTCAGTTGCTGCCTGGAGAAAGAGACCAACCCCCACCTGACTACAGCCACCTTTCAGGGAGTTGTAGAGAGTGATAAGGTCACCTCTGAGTCTCCTTTTCTCCAGGCTAAACACCCCCAGCTCCCTCAGTTGTTCCTCACAGGGTTTGTGTTCCAAGCCCCTCACCAGCCTCATTGTCCATCCTTCCCAACTGAAGGGCCAGAACTGGACGCAGAACTCGCGGTGTGCCCTCACCAGTGCCGAGTTCAGGGGGAGAATGACCTCCCTGCTCCTGCTGGCCGCACCATTCCTGACACAGGCCAGGATGCCCTTGGCCTTCTTGGCCACCAGGGCTCACTGCTGGCTCATGCTCAGCTGGGCTTCAGCCAGTACCCCCAGGTCCCTTTCTGCCTGGGCACTGTCCAACCACACTGTCCCCAGCCTGTAACATTGCAGGGGGTTATTGTGGCCAAAATGCAGGACTTGACACTTGGAGTTATTAAACTTCATCCTATTGGACTCTGCCCATCCATCCAACCATTCCAGGTCTCTCTGCAGAGCCCTCCTACCTTCCAACAGATTGACACGCGCTCCCAGCTTAGTGTCGTCTGCAAATTTACAATGAAAGACTCAATCCCTTCATTCATGTCATCAATAAAAATACTGAACAGAACTGGTCCCAGTACAGAGCCCTGAGGGACACCACTGGTGACTGTCCCCAGCTGGATGCAGCACTGTTCACCACCACTCTCTGGGCCAGACCATCCAGCCAGTTCCTAACCCAGCACAGAGTGCTCCTGTCCAAGCCATGGGCTGCCAGCTTCTCCAGGAGAGTGCTGTGGGACACAGTGTCAAAGGCCTTGCTGAAGTCCAAACAGACAACATCCACAGCCTTTCCTGCATCCACCACATGGGTCATCTGGTCATAAAAGACCAGGTTGGTCAAACGTGACCTACCCCTCCTAAACCTGTGCTGGCTGGGTCTGATACCCTGGCCATCCTCTAAGTGCTGCATGATGACACTCAGTATAAACTGTTCCACTATCTTACCACGTACTGAGGTCAGGCTAACTGGCCTATAATTACCAGGATCCTCCTTCCCACCCTTTTTGTGAATGGGCACCACATTGGCCAGCTTCCAGTCATCTGGAACCTCACCAGTGAGCCAGGACTGTTGGCAAATGATGGAGAGCAGCTTTGCAAGGTTGTCTGCCATCTCCCTTGTCACCCTGGGGTGGGTCCCATCTGGTCCCACAGATTTATGAACACCCAAGCGGCTCAGCAGTTCTCTGCCTGCCTCATCATGGATAACAGGGGGAACATTCTGCTCCCTGATAACTCCAACTCAAGACGACAGCTGTCCTGAGGACAAGCCATCTTCCCACTGAAGACTAAGACAAAGAAGGCGTTAACCACTTCTGCCTTCTCCTCATCTGCAGTTACTGAGTTCCCTCCCATCCAGTAGAGAACAAAGGTTGGTCTTACCCCTCCTTTTGGAAATTCATTAGGAAATTCATAGATGTACTCTCCTTCTCATTATGGGCCTTTGATAGGCAGCAACAAAGCTAATTAGCTGGATTCCTGATTCCTAGAAAAAACTTTGCAATGGGAGCAATCCTACAAGTAATCATACCTGTCACTGCCTTAATCAGAATCAATGTCTTTAATTTAAGAATATGTCAATATGCTTATTGTAACAGGTCACTGTAAAGCAAGGGGGTATTTTAAATGGAACCCTGAATACACTTCTCATGACTTAATTTTTCTGTACACAACAACTTTTAATTGTTGGGAGTTATTTACTCCAAAGCTGGAAAAGGGAAAAATATGGCTGATGTAGTATTTTCTAGCTTAGTGCACTGGAAAGACATTGTATATGGTCCTTCATAGCAGGACTTTTAGAAGCTTACCCTGCTTAATCTGATTAAGTGTGCAAGATTGCTATTCAGAAGATAAATACATGCAGCCAACAGATGTATCCATCCCACTGTACTCTGCCTTACAAAGGCAGTTCTCCCTCCAAAGATGATACAATCCCATAGGAATGTACCTCCTAGGTTTTCTAACCAAAAAATAGTTACATACCTGATATAAATAATCCTCAAATACAAAATAGTAGTCATCGTTGCTTGCTGTCAGTTTTACATCCTGTAATAAAAAAAATACAAGCGTTTGAAGCCAAAAGACCTCTCTTTAGACTCCCACGGAGACTAAACTTAACATCCTGATAGAAGACACCGTTTCACTTTCATTCAAAGAACTATAGTTAAGCTTATACTCCACATTTTAAAATTAAAAAATGCTATATTAACTTGATGATTAAGTATTCAGAGTTGAAACCTGAAATGGAAGCAGTCACACCCTGTTGGCTCTTTCTCACAATCCCAGTTATTCCTTCAAATGAGGATACCATTCCTTTATGACTTAATGGTTCAACTCAAATGTCTTACATGAGAGACAACACGGGCACAAGGAATAAGTTCACAGTTATTTTTACACTCCTCAAAACCAAATCATCCAGTATTTTCTTTGTTAAAAAAACCAACAAGATACAAGTGTGATGAGCACATAAATCACTCACTGTTTAGTGAATTACTTACTTTGTAAATCAGGCTGTCCACTAAAAGGTCGTGTTGAATCACATTTGACTTAAGCTGTTCATAATACAAGATGTCCTAAAATTAAGAATATTATCATCATCTGTCTGAAAAATGATCTGAATTTATATTGAAAGTAAAAAAATTAATTTTCAGCAATTAAAAAAAAAAAAAAGCATGTATTCAACTGAAAAAAAGCACTTCATATTTATGAAGCATCTATCATGGCTTGTTCAAGTTTAAGTCCTAAGAATTAAGATTTGAGACATTATAAAATTATTTCACCTTCAGATAAGTAATAAAATGAGAATAAAGGGACTAGTTCAAATCAAAGACTCGTATCTTCCAGCCTCTGGTTCTCTCTACTCCTAAAATCTTTTCAATGCTCAAAATAATTATATTTCTTTGTTACCTTCTTTTTTCATGCATGTCTCGACCAATAGGTTCTGTCTTATCTTTAAGCATTAGTGAGTTGCTGCAAATATTTGACATTAAACTAGTATGAACCTGTAGACAGGTTAAATTTGTGCAAAGATGAAATTATTATATATATGAAAAAAAACTGGTGAAGAGTGCAAAAAAATAGGATCTGTTTTTAAACTCCAACTCTTTCCTGAATGTCTATGGAACATACACACAGGTGAAACAACAGGGAAAAATCAGAACAAACCTCTCTGTTTTTACTTATTCTATCCCTTCCTTCTTAGAAACAGCTTGCAAAGGAAAAATAGAATTAAATATTGCACTGTCAACCCCTAACTCCCAAATCCCTTTATATATATACACTTCTATCCCTAAATATTTTTCTGCCATTACAACTTCAACTGAATAACAATTTCTGATTGATTTGAACTAATTGATAAATTAAGTCAGCCATCCCAAAGATCCTTTTCACTTCACAAAACTATTTTGATTTCAAAACATCTATATGGATACCACAAAAATATTTGTATATTCCCAACTTCACAGATTTACTGCTAATTTCTTCAGTAAAGACAAGTCCAGAGTAAGGATTTGAAGAACAAGTGGGAGGTACAATGAAATCTTGCAGGTAGAGAATGATGAATAGTGCACACTTAGAAACTATTAGAATTAGCATATTACTAAACTGCTAAGTTGTAATGACGACAAAAGCTGTATTTACTAAGTACTGATGCCTCCTACAGGGAAAATATTTAAATTTTCCTTTTGAGAAATAAAAAAGGGGAGGTAAAAATATTACACTATTCTTTAGGAAGGATCAGACATAAATATTTACTAAATGCAAAGTATCTGCACTATGAACATTGCATTGTGTTCTTCAAAGCTATGAAGAACTACTTGATTACACAAGCCATCATTTTAAAGCATCAATACTGTAATCTAATCAAGTATAACACTGCAAGTGTTATAATCAAGTATAAATGAATAACATTTTTTTTTGCCATCTCTAATGACTGTCTATATTAAAACACAAGAAGTTAATATAAAAAAAAACCCCAACCAAAACCAAAGAAACCACAAGCCAAAACCAAAACCAAAACCCATAGTAAGTGGATTGGAACGAGATGATCTCTAAGGCCCTTTGCAACCCAAACCATTCTATGATTCTAAGACGAACAGAAAGACAAGCTGTCCACTTGAAATAGAACTCATGCAAAAAAAAGTTTAGCAAACAAATCAGAAATTATTAAAAAAGGACTTGCAAAGCTAACACAATTATAACCATTATAGGAATAAAGGTTTTAACTCCTTATTTGCCATTCATTTTCTCTTAAATTGTGATTGCTGTGATGGAAAATGAAGCTGGGCTTGGGAATCATGACAGGTTTTCAGCCACAACTTAGCTACAGGAGGATCTTGCCCATGTCTCATGGTTAAGACAAGAGGTTTGTGATTGATGCATGATTAACAGATTTATTCCTTAGATCTGAATCATAAACAAGATTTACTTTCAAGACACAAGACTCTCTGGTGATCAGTCTCTCATTTAGACAGTGAGGAATATTTAAGAGCCTCACTCAGCCTTTAAAAAATATTCAAGTCTACTTTTTCAATTTACTGTCTGCATTTCTTTCTCCATATAAGAAATTTCACTACTGGCAAGTTTCAAGAGTTTCCAAAGAAGTGTTACATTTCTTATATTATTTAAAATTTTTTCAGTTATAAACAAAAATCTTACCATTTTCATCTGATTCAATATTTCTTCTTTGTCTGCCAAATCGTCATGTAACATTGATTTGTAAACTTTTTCCCTTTCAAAAATATGTTGCATTTTTATACAGACTGCAGTTTTTCTGAAAATTATATACTTTTATATCACACCTCCAAATATACTCATCTTTCCAAACTGAATTTAAGTACACTTCAGGATTGCAGTGAGCAGCATTTTTGACCTTACAGAGCCACATCCCAAAATTTCACCCAAAACATTTGTATTGCATCCACTTGAGACCATAAGGGAGCTCTGAAAGGAGCTCATGGGCAAGAGAGAACAGTATCCTTCAGGAGAACCGAGCAAAGCTACTTTAAGCAGAATCTGGATATTCACCTTCTCTGAAATAAAGGTTTGGATTACTCGGCAACCTCTGTGCTGCCACATGTATCCTGCCATGAAATCCCTGGCACTTGAGCTACACTCTCACTGATGAACTGTTGGCCGGTCATGACCCATTTTTAGTTACCCTTGACATGTGATTGCACTATTGCATTTGCCTCTCAATCTAGCAAGGTTAAAACAAATACCTAATCAGATTTCATAATGAGAAAACAGAAGAGTTCAAGGAAGACCCTTCTGGTAAATTCTTGAAGAGGGTCCAAAGCTTATTCTCCTTTCACCAGAGATCTGTGAAATCTATTTGCAAAGTACATCGTTCTCCAGCCAAAGATGATGACAGTCTGTTACTATAACTGGGTTTTCTGCTGTTTGAGTGGTACAGTGGGGACATTTGGCTACTGAGCCTAATCTAAAAAACCTTCTGATAAGGCAGATATACAAAATGCCCCATTATGAACTTACCACCTCACCTATTCATTAAGTTTTTAAACCTTTGAAACTACATTCAGTAATACCTATAGCAAAGTAAAACTTTACTGATTTTTCCATTTCCTGGAATTTTCAGAATTAAGGTTTTACACCTATTAACTCAAAAAACTTACAGGAGAAGAAAAAACCTATTAGATAATGAACAAATTTCCTTCCTGAGCAGTATTTCAGTAGCATGCAGAGAATAAACAATTGTGAACACTATGAATAGAAGGAAAAAAAATTAAACAGATTTTCACTAAGTGTGTGCCATCCATTTCGTGCAATGAGACAGACATCCCACAGGAAATAACTGTGATTCTGTGATTCAAGATCATATGATTAAAAATATATACAGAAAATTGGACTGTTTACACAGACAATATTAACTGACACTGTTCACCTTCAAATGTTTGTCTTTGCAACCTTAAAAAGGCTCTTTTAATACAGTTCCTCTAAAGTGTACCATTACAAATGAAAACGGAGAAACAATTCATTGTCAGGCAATGTGTTTATATATTTCTAAATAATCCTGCATACCGAGCTCACAGTTTATCATTTTTATTACTACAATGCTAGATCGTTAGTACCATTCCTTGCTTGGCTGTATATTAGCTTTATACAGAGGCTGAGCTTTACTGAATAAAATTGTCCAAACAACAATATTGGATGCTGGCACACACAATGCTGCCCATACCAAGCTCTCATAATATTGCACATCAAAGAAAGAAAATTCACAGTTCATGTGATTTAGAGATTCATACAGCTATAAATGTAATAGAACCTAAACTGCAAATCAGAAATATTACAGCAAGGAATGCCTGCAAACAGACAATTCAACTCCAGCAGAGAAACTATTCATAGCAGGTAGAGAAAAGAAGTGTTAGATAAATCCATAAAGTCTATATGAAATTCAGCAGATCATAAAACAGCTACATGTATATGGAAACTCTTTTGTTATAGTTCACAAAAAATAAATCCATGTATTCATTCTATGCAAGAAGAACATCTCAGGGTGTTAGCATTTTGGCAGTAGTCACAGCTTACTTCTGTGTAAGAAACATTAGTTAATGCAGTGCTTAAACTGAACCACAGCTATTCAGTTCATAACATAGCTGTTGTGATCCATGTGCTATTCTACTTGATCTATGGGCACTCTGCTAGGTCTCATTCAGAAAATCCATCTTTTAAATGCATGTACTCAAAGTCCATAAAAGAACTTTAACTTAGAACCCAGGATAAAAAATGCTATGCAAAAATAATCTTCAAAAAGAAGACAGAAGATTATGACAGCTGTTAGATTAGAAGAAGTTTCAGCTTTGCATGACAGAAAAACATTTACATGCACTTACCTCACTTACCTTGAATTATTTTCTCCAACATAGTGTATCTTGTCCCAACTTCATAATTTCTGTTTGCTAAGGGGACTGAGGGTGCATTTTGTATTTCACTGTTTTTCAATCCTTTATTTCAACAACCTCAAAGTAACAGACTAATTTCCCAGTTTGCATCACTTTATCTGTCATTACCACTTTGTCTTAATGTTATCATTACCATTTTCCAGCCACTTGCCCTCATCTTTCTAGAGTTCCTTCAGCATCATCACAAAGTATTGACTCACCACTAATTCCTTGCACACAGTCTACTCAGTTCAGTCTCAAGGCTCTGGATCCAGCAGACTGTCTCTTAAAGTAAAATTTCTACTGCACTCAGTCTTAGAATGTGTTTAAAATAGCTTATTTTTCTTTTTCATCTATAGCTGACAAATATCACTTGCTAAGTGTGTAAAAATTTATCATAAGGTAAATTATTATGGACATATAAAAGCCTCACATTGAAGTTTCCCAATTATGCAAAGACCTTAAAGAGGAATTCAACTTTTTAAATAGCCATGGCCTCAGATACTGCAAAAATTTCCTTGTTGAGGACTTGCATCAAGTACTTTATTCACATGTCTATTAAAAATTAGGAAGAGTGGCAAAGACTTCACCACAGCACAGAGGTTTTTAAATCATAAAATGTCTATCAGTTTCTGTGACAACTCAGTAGAGCACTTCTATTTTGGAGAAAACATCACTAGAAGATACGTACTTGCACTTTTGTATTCTCACCTAGTCTTCACTACTTACCTCTGGCTGATTAGAAATGTTAAGAATGAGGGCCCACAGATCAGCCCGGAGTGCTGTTGGACATCCCTGACGAACATACTGCTGAGCTGCAGCACTATCTTGCTCTGCTAAAACTGTAAGAAACAAAGCAGGTGAAGAGTTGATGTAGTGTAAGACTTCTATCAAATACCTTAATTTTTAACTTTAAAAACTGGCTTACCATGCCATAAGCTTTAGCTAACAGGAAAATACTGAAAAGATTTCATTTCTACACTGCAATTTTTAAGTAATTCCTTGGGAAACAAGGCAATTGGTATTAATCAGCAAGGCTGTACTACATTCTGTCACAAAATATCACTTACTATGTACATATGACTGTATCAAGGCTAGTTGCAGCTACTAAGCTGGCATTATGCAGAACAAGCAGCCATTTATAGCCACAAACTCCTGGTTTAACTATGAATGGTATCTCAGTTCAAATAGGAGATTGCCACTCATTCTGGCATTCTGTGTCTCCCTTCTTTCCATGTTAACTATATGAGTATCTTCACAGATAACTGCAGGGCCAGAATTTTTCATTCCAGAGTATACTGTTCTGTTCTCTCATTATTGGTGTATTTACTCTAGAGGATAAAGACCTCAAAAGATATTGGTTTGCCTTCATATTGACATAAAACAAATACTCTACTGCTGACAGGTTTGCTTATTTGGGTCACTGCTGTGAAGCTTTAGGCTACCCTATCACAAGGGACTCATGCCGAATACAGTACTGTATATATCATAGAACAGATTACCTCATTCCCTACTTAAATCTATGAACTTGAAAGACATACATCTTCAGCTACTGTAATCTGATAAAAGTGTTCCTCACGAAGGGTGTGTGATTAATTGTACCCTGATACCCAAAATGTCTTTCACAAAAGCGAGAGAGAGTTGGGAGAAATTTCTGTGTTATTATCCAGACATTACGTAGGTGTTGGACTGCTTCTTGAAAGTTGCCAAATCCATTTCCTCTAATTTTTCAGAAGTGTCTATGAAATAGGTTGCTTTTCTATATCTCACTGAATTTGATATTTGCAATATCTGCTCTGATATGACTTAGAAGGACAAGGTTTGGAATTAAATATCTATCTAATTGATTTTTATTTTCTTCCCTTTTTGCTTAAATACTGAATAGATGAGTTTGCCAAAATCTGTTTAAGTTGCAGAGCTCTAATACAGACATTTCTATGATCCTTTGTTCTTGCATGAAGAGGGCAAAAAAACCTGATTCTTACATTCTCCACAGGACTTATGAAATACTGTGATTCATCTTGGCATCCACGAGTATTTACCTTATTTTTCTTACTAACATAGAAAATATTAAGAAGACGTTTTGGTATTTAGAAGATGGGTTTTACTAAACACAACAAAATAAAGTCCTCAGGCTTGGCAATACATCTAATAAAAAAGCAAAATTTGCCTCCGTGGCAAACAAAGTCATAGCTAACACCCATTAGAGCATGCAGCAGTTTTCCCACTGAATGAAAAGGGATTTCAGTTTATGGTCAAGGCACTTGCATATTTACAAAATTTTTAGTCTTTGACTGTAGAAAAAGCTAAGGCATTCTCTAGAATAGAGCTGCTTCATATAGGCAAGAGATGATGAATATGAACGGCATGAATGAATGGCTCAAGAAGTCCAGAAAATATAGTTTACTTTGAAGAATGGGAAAAGAACAGAGGTGGACAGCACCTAATGAGTTGCTCTTGGATTAGAAAATTGATAGTGCAGGACAGAAAGATGACAACAAAAGAAGTAAGTAAGAAAGAAAGATCATTATTTTGTTACTGCAACAAAAAAATTAGGATGAAACACTTTCTGGACAGTATCCTGCCTATTTTTTCCTTTGATGCTAATGTTCAGCAGGAATCAGAAGAGACAGTAATGAGTAAATATTGGTGTATTTCAACCATTCCTTGTATGTTTCTTCTATAAGCAAACTTAAACTATTCAATTATAATTTCTTTTAACTTCCCCTTCCTTTTGTAGGTTATTTCTTAACCTACAAAAACAGTCCTGGAACTTTTCAGAAAAAGCAGTATAAAGAGACAAGTGAATATTCCATAGTGGCTAATATGGAATACTAATACTAATCACTAATTCTGCAATATTTGGCAATTGCAAAACTGATTATTAAAATGATAACACTGACATAAAGGCATAGATCCCATAACAATAATGAGATCTTTGTGTGCAGAGAAGGGATTCCAAAGAATTCTGATTTTAAACTGAAATTCAGTAATGGAATAAGTTAAGTTGCCACCAAAAAGATGTCTATGTGCTTCCTATTTTGTTTTTATTGAAATACCTGTGGAGCTTTTTTCTGGTAGGTACTGGTACACTGCAAATATTTGCTTTTCTGTCCCTGTCTAAATGATAACAGTATTAGTGATTGTCTATCTAAATTACAATGTTATTACTAATAACTAGTAATAATACTAATAACTAGTATTACTAATAACTAATTACTAGTCTAGGTTCTTAAAATCCCAAGAGGTACATACAAATACAAATTTATGAAATGAATTCTTAACTACTTATAGTTAATTACAGATAAAAACAGATCCATACCTTTCTGCCCAACACGTACATGTTCATTTTCAAAGAACTCTAGAAAATAAAAACACAGAAAAGTATGGCAAAAAATAAATGAAAAAGACATCCCAGCTGATAATGTATTTTGTATTTTTAACACATAATTACATTGAGTTGCTCTTTACTGCTAATCACTAAAAGTTAACCTGCATCAAAGTTCTTTTTCAAAAACTAATTTTGTGTTTCAAAACCACAAATATCAAAGCAGCATTATACCACATGATTTTCAACTAGGCAAGTTTCCATTTAAAAAGAAAAATCTTGTGATATGGAGTGATTTCCATTTTTATGTAGAAAGACCATTTTAAAACCTCTTCCTACAGCAATAGATGCATACATGGAAAACCAATAGAGATTATACACTATTTAAGTTACTGAATATTAATATATGGGTATGGCCTGTAATATTTTCTTGACAACAGATATTTTAAATATGTTTGTATGTGTATCTGTATGTATGTATATTTATAAAAATATGCCTATCTGTTAGCTGGATTAACATTTACCGATAATTTCTGTATTTCTGGAAACAGGCAATGTGGCTCTCTAGATCCTGAAGTGTTCAAACATATTGAAATTAATATATTCTCTACTTAAGGTGATGACTTTAAAACTTCTCCAAATATGACTCTTCATATATGCATTGTTTTCCATTATTAGCTATATTTTACTATGAAAATCACTAAAATCATAGTCACAGAACAAATATTTATGGTTGAAAAATACAAAAATTTTGGGAAAAACACACAAATTTTATGATAATTTCAAAGGATTCTACTCATTAGTGTTCCGTTTCAATGACTGGAGCATGGCAGTAGCTTACCAGGAGGCACTTGTGCTGAATCATCAATACCTAGCTGTCCTATATTTAAGCCTAGTTCATTAAAGTCTTCTTTCTGAAAAGGAACAGAACCATAACAAAGTAATTAATATTTTTAATTCTCTAAATCACTTGAGATTTCTTCTGAAAGGCTTAATGTGAATATTTTCTGAACCAAATTAAATTCTTCTAAATGCATACATTTGTAATAGACTCTCACATCAATTCTTACTCTACTTTTAGTTATAAGCCTCAGTTTGCATGTCAAGTATGAGCTACACCTGGATGTACTGAAGTGGTGAATCAAAGATCAGGTTAAGGATCTCTAATTCCCATCTCTTTTCCAACCCAGGTGAAGGTTTTTCTACTAGCATAAAATCTGCAAGAGCCTCATCAGTGAAGCATTTAGAAAAACTCTACTATATAATACACTAGCACTCAAACATTTCATTTCATTTACACCTGACAATAAAGGGATTTAAGATTATATTGAGAAGAAAGACAGAAGTTAACTCAGAATCTGCAGAAATGAGATGTGCTACAAATTTGGAGTTTCTTGTGTAGAAGAAAATTTATTAAGTGAATAACATGTACAGAAATGTATTTTTGGCACAAATTAAACCTGTGTTTCATAAAATGAAAACTTCCCTACTGGCAGAAATTTTACTGTTTATGTTTTATTTTTCATTAAAAATATTTTTTCATAGAACTTCTTTATGCTCTCTATTTTAACTACATATTTAGATTGATTTTCACTTTCAAAAGGAGAAATTTATGATGATAATTATATTAATTTTTATTAGTTAGAATCATTTTCATTAACAAGGAAACAAAGCTGTTACAGAAACCTCGTATTAAAAAAAATAAATATATATACTTACCAATTCTGGAATATCTTTAACTTTTAAGGGAACCTGAATTAGTCCCAGATGATTTCTGAAACTAGGCTGCTCTCCATTTTCATAATTTGGGTTTCGAAGATTCATCAGTACCTTAAAAAATTGTAGCTCTGTCACTTCTTGCTTACATTCATAACCCTTCTCAACATTATCACCATTACAAACAGTATATTCAGCATAAAATAATTTCCCACAACAAGTGGGAATCAAAATCAACAAGTACTGAAATTTTTAAGGAAGCTAACGTAGTCTACTTTGAAAAGTCAGCTCAATAAAAAAGCAGAAATAATTTTAATATACATAACTAAGTGTTGGCTATATAGTAATGCCTTGACTAAAATTTACTTCCTCATTTAAGCTATACCAACAACATATTTCTGATGGCTACAGTATCCAGGATATTCTTCAGCATCACTTTTCTCTGAAATAATTTTATCTATCTTCTTACACTGGCAATCTTACAGAGCTTCCAATAAAAATGCTACATAATTTGCTACTAAAATAATTCTTTATAAAATAACAATATCAAAATATCTTCTTTCATATAAGAAAAAGAAATTACAGAATTGAAAACTTAAAGCAAATATAATTTAAAGGACAAGGAATCATCTCAAGGTAAGTAACTGTGACCTATAAAGGAATTTACAGTCTCTCATATACTGTTATTTCAAGGTATAGATTTTGATACGATGCAAAGATTCTTTCTAACATGAATTTCCAGCTCTTATGAAATTCTTTCATAACACTGTACTTCTACAGGTCTCATGCTTTTAAGTATTCTAATACCATATAATCTCATTGTCAGACTTGTTAATTTAAAGAAACTGCAAACTCTGGAAAGAAAACAGCATAAAAGAAAAAGAGAGTGATCATGAAGGTCGCTGAATAAAGACAAAAAAAAAGACTAATTTATTTACATATCCCGAATTTATTTACACACACCAGGGCTGTTAGTACAATGATGGAAAACAAAATAAATAAAACATTTTCAATGTTATTTTGATTAACTTAACAAAAAGAGTGATATGCAATAAGTACTATTTGACTATGATGTTCTGTGCTAGAGTCAAAGAAAATTATGAATAATACTGACATTTAAGACTTTAAAGATTCCACAGTCACCAATTTTTTAATGGTTCCGTCTGATTACATACAAAAGCCTTGAAATTCAACACAGTCCTGTTTCATGTTTGATTTTTTACAACCTTCTGAGATGACCTACAATTTCAACTGAATACAAGTCTGCAATCTACTATCAAACAGTCTATTAGTTTCACATATTGTGATTTATGATCTTAATATATTGGAATTGAAAAGTAAAATGGTTTGCGAAATCACTTCAGAATCACTCTCCAAGGGAAAAAAGTTGGTCCCAGACTCTGGTTTAGAGAAGTTTATCACAGGTTCAATTTAAAATTTCAGTTAAAAAATAAAAAAGCGACAATAGCATTTTGTTTGTAAACCAAACATGGATTCACTTGCTATAAATGATAACCAGTATGAAATACACTTAGCAATTATTTTTCCCACTTCATATAAAGCACTATAATGGATACAAGCCAATGGCTAAGTTTTATTTCATTGAGGCTTACCTCAAGAAAATCTTTAGGCGCATAAACAGGCCGGAAAAGACTTAGATCTGAAATAAGATTTAAATGACACTATGTTAAAACCAAAAGATCAAAAACCCATGTGCCATATCTATAACACAATCTAGCAATTTAAATAATAGATTAGAGCAAAGATCAAGATAACATCATCACAAATATCATGGCAACAACACCACATATTCTGTCATTATTATGCTACTTATAATAGCCTTACTTTTTTAAACCCCAGATAAATGAAGAGGAGGGTGTTCTTCAAGGTCCCTTCCAGACCAAACCATTCTATGATTCTATGAAGAGAACAGTAGTCACAGGAAGCTTCCACTTAATCTTCACAAGTGTTTAGACTGAATCACTCTTAGACTTAGGAAAGATAGGATTTTCAAAAGCAGGGTATTTTTTAACAGCTTAGATTATTGAATTACACATACTGCTGTTAAATGAAAACTGGGGAGCAATACTAAAAAATCCATGAAAAGTGTTTGCCATCAGAGAGGTGGCAATGTGATACAAACCAGCACCTCTGTGAAATCCTTTTTAAGGAACTTGGCTATGAACTAGCTTGAGAGTTAGCCTTACTTTCCCTAAGTATAATATCACTGATTATTCTGTGCAGGAGTTATTTTTATCTTTTGTTAAGAAAACATCTGAGCTTAATTATCCATAGTTCCAAACATTTTCTGTATGCCTGAGTTTACAAAAAGAGGAGCTGTCTCCTAATTGAATAAATCTCTAAAGCACTGGAATATGGAATATAACACAATAACCTCTCAGTAATGATTCAGTGTTAGTACAATAACTAGAAACAAACTAACAAGGAAATAAGTATTTATTTTTGCATAATGACACATTACCAATGAAAGAAAGATCAAAATCAAGTTGCCTTGAAGAGATTAGATTAACCTTTGACTGGTAAGTAAGATGTACATCCTGCCTTTCTATGTACAAAAATTTAATGAATGTTTAAATTTAGTTAAATTAGCCTTACCTGGCTCATCAGTTCCCATTTCATTCCATTTATTAAGCAGTTCTTTTTGTTCATTTGCAGGCCTCTGAAATACACAAAAAAGTGTATCTTCTTTTTTTTTAACATAATTAATAAAAACATGCTTATTTCAAATATGTATTAATTTCAACTATACATTAATGCAATGTTTTACAAAATAGCAACACAAGCTTATTTGCTAACAAATTATCCTTAGCCTGAAGGTACATAACACTGCAAAAAACCAAAGTTCCAGTTCCTGGAAGGAAAGAAGCCCATTAAATAGTTTTGGGTGTTTAGTGATGAATTTAGGGTATTTAGTACTCAGTTTTGTGTTACTGAAGATTTACTGTCCATTCCATAGAGCTGTTGGACTCTACCAAATTCCTGTCCCTGGCAGTCATGAAAACCAAACAGCAGCATCCTTTAGCTCATGATGAACCATAGAGGTTCTGCCACCTGTCACAGAGGCAAAACGTGGGAATGAACAAAACATTCTAACATTACTCCCTACTTCCATGATCTTTAAAATTAAAGCCTCTATATTAATTAAAAAAAAAAAAACCAAAAAACCACAACCAAACAAAAAAAACCCCACTACACCAGAATGAACGACAAACAAAATCAGCAATGTACCAGTATCTCTCTCTCTCTCCTCATGTACCAGTTCAACTACAGATTTCTGTGCACACAAAGCACATCCGTATCGCACACAGGCTGCACAAGTTATACAGTTGAGTCTGCACACAAAATACTGTTAAGAACAAGGAACATAGTAATTAGCTTTCCAACATGCTGCTCTCTCAAGAGGATAATTACTGCAACAACAAAGAGGAAAATCTACCTAGAGCCTTCATCTTCTCCCAAGCTGAGATGACACATTCATTGCCACCATCTCTGAAAATTATTCTGCATTAGAAAATATTTAGATACTGAACCTGCAGCTCTTGATAACCATGCCTAAAATGAAGATTACATTACAAGTGTTCAAGAAAAGGCTTAATTTCAGAGAAAATGTCAGTTTGAAAACAGAAAATTAACAATACATTACCTTCTGCGCTAGTGGGATATTGAGTTCTGTGCACATGCTGTTCAGACTTTTCAGAATTCGCTTCTCCCAGCTTCCCTAAAATGCACACGAAAGATAAATGATAAGGAATTTCTTTTTCCTGAAAATTGAATTTACTATGCAATAACAAGCAGCGTTTTGAATTCAGATATATATAAAAGTATAGCAAGAGTCACTGACATCTGGAAACATATGAAGAGAATATTTACAAGCTTCTTTACATGGAAACAATAGATCAAACAGATCTCATTCTTTACAACACAAAAAAGAACCAGAAAATTTTGTTGTTCATATTTCATATCTTTAAAAAATCATGTATTTCACAATTACTGATTTTTATATATGTTTAATGATCAAGCTTCTTTATAGATCAACATTTAACAATTTTTTCAAACAATTATAAGAGGTCAATCAACTGTGCATAGCAAATACCTTCTCCACTTTGGGGCCTGAAGAGACTGGCAGTCTTTCTCCACAAAAAGTATCTTAGATCTTGTCAGAAATTAAGGAAAGTTAGAAATCTGGTATGCTGTAATGCTTAAAAAAATAGTTCTTCTAACACAATGCTCAGGAAATAGTTGTCTGTCTAATCAGAGAAAACCAAAAGAGACAATACCTTAGTGGTCAGTGGACAGTTTAAAAAGCAACCAGATTCTTCTGACAACTGCATTAGGCTTCAATAGTGCCTACTCCATGGCTAACTCCTCTGAAGTTAATGCCAGTTAGTAATGACTTCCTTGTCAATGGACTTGGTATTTTGCTCCTGTGACTACAGCACCATTGGTGGGTTTTATACTCAATTTAGTTTTCTGCGGATGACAAGCCACACCTCGATCACATGAATGCAAAGACTCCTCTTAATTTCATTAAGTTCTATTTATTGCTTGTAATTTGCTCTAGACACAAATTTTACAACAGCTAGTTACTGTTTAACCATGCTCCTCAAAGATCTGTCTGAAAGGTGCTGCAGTTTATTAGACAAGAAGCAAATGAAGAGAAGGGCAATTAAAAAAAAAATAAATCTTGTCTATAATTGTTTCATCTTAACTTTCATTTACAAGCTCATTTACTAGATCCTCTCATAACTTTTTCCATTAAAAAAATTGCTATCTTTCACTAGAAATTTTTCCTCACAATCAAGTCATCCCTTCACTTTCTTTTGCATAAACAAAATAGGTCTGAGTTTTGAATCTAAGGAATGTTTTCCAAATTGCATACTTTTTATCATACTCTGTAAAATATTTTTCTTTAACTGTATTATCATATTTAAATTCTTTTCAAATGCTACACAACACCATGCCACAAACTGGTTCGTCTCTCACAAAGTGGTAGTATCAAGTATTTACTATTTTGCTAAAAAGTGAAGTTTTGTTTCTAGATAAATAATAAGTGAGAGAGCATGAAGATTACTGGGCCATATAGGATAAGAAAGTGGAAATGGAGAATACACAGGTAGTAGTAGCAAAAACAAAGTTAAAGTATTTTTTGCCAAAAGCAAGATCAGATGATCAGATGGCCTGGCCTGGCCTCCTGTCCAGCCAAACCCTAAGTGTCCAATGCTGTCTCCCTAAGGAGATTATTCCAAAGGCCGATTGTTCCCTGTGTGAAAAATTTTCCTCTTCTGTCCAATCAGAATCTCCCCAAGAGTAACTTGTACCCTTTACTTCTCATCTTTTCCATGTGACTCTTGTAAAAAGGCGTCTCCATTTTCCTCTGTAGTCACCCTTTAAATACTAGAATAAGGTCTCCCCATAGCCTCCAGTTCTCAAGGCTGAACAAACCCATTTCTCTCAGCCTTTCCTCACATGTCAGGCTTCCCAATTCTTTGAACATCTCTGTGGCCCTTCTCTGGACCCTCTCCAGTCTGTCCACATCCTTTACTGTACAGTGGGGACCACAACTGAGCACAGTACTCCAGATGTGACCTGACAAGTGTTAAGCAGAGTGGGTCAATGATTTCTTTATCTCTGCTCGTGATGCCCACATTGATGCAACCCAGAATCCTGTTGCCTTTCTTTGATGCAGCAGCACACTCATATGGAACCTGCTGTTCACCAAGTCCTTCAGGTTAATTTCCTTCAGGCTGCTCCCCAGCCAGGTAGATCCAGGGATGTGCTGCAGTCTGGATTATGATTTCCCGCATGCCAGACCTTACATTTGTGCTTTTACATCATAAATCTCTTATTAGCCCACTCTTCCAGCATATGCAAGTTTTTCTGCACAGTGACTCTCTCTTCTGATGTGGCCACCTCTCCACTTGGTTTGGTACTACTGGCACCATCACTTCATGATACCATCCAAGGGGGCATAGGGAGGGGAAAAGCAAAGATATGTGTAAAGATACGAAAGCTACAAAAGAAGAGACATACGGCAGCTTTGCAAGACCAAGAACCATCTAATTTCAAATAGCAGTGGAGGTCAACACACTTGGTGTGACTTACAACTGCCACACTGGACATTAATCCACTTACTGCATGGGGGTGCAACATGTTGGTAATAAGCCACTTATACACAGTCATAAACTGTGACATAATTCATTTTTCAAGACCCAGTAAAAGATATTCAAGTAAATGTAAAGAAGACAAAACCAAAGTGAGGGTTATACAGCCTTTCTAAGCAAGATACTGTGCCCTCTCTCCAGGACAGCAGGTACCTGAAGTGAGCAGAAACAGAATGCACTGTTCTTGACTGTAATAAAAGGTAGAAGGGAGAGGTCATAAACTCATTTTATTGATGGGAACAATACATTTAACAAGATGATTCCTGTAGTCTTAGGAAGAAATTCAACACTAAGAAAACACACTATTAGGATTGCTATGGTTACAATTATTCAGTAACATAGCTGAAACTGAGGAAGATAGTAGCGCAATTTGGAAACAATTTCATAGTTTCACAGAATAGTTTCCAAGACATAAAGAACCCACCTGAAGGGAGGGAGAAGGATTATTAACAAGGGCATGTAGTAACAGGACAAGGGGGAATGGATTTGAACTGAAAGAGTAGGTTTACATGAGATATGAGGAAGAAATTCTTTACTGTGAGGATGGTGAGACATTGAACAGGTTGCCCAGAGACGTTGTGGATGCCCCATGGCCTGAAAGCATTCAAGGACAGGCTGCGTGGGGCTCTGAGCAACCTGATCTAGTGGGAGGTATCCTTGCAAGGGAAGGCTGAAACCAGATCTTTAAGGTCCCTTCCAAGCCAAATCATTCTATAATCCTATGACTTATAGCATTACTATTCATTGCCATTAATGCTCTATCCTTCTCTAGAAACCTGGAAATTTTTTTGTGGTAGGAAAATAAAGTAATATAAAAACTTCAGTCTGCCATCTATGAGAAAACAGAACTAATGTGAAAACAAAAAGGTTTAATTTTGAACATTTTAATACCTACTCTAGGAAAAAAAATATTAATATCTCTTTAATCACTGATTCAAAGTAATTCCAGTAATTATCAGAGATGGCTTTCTGGGAGTAGTATCCTTATGTGGCCACCTCTCCACTTGGTTTGGTACTACCAAACTACTATTTCCAGAATTCTGAAGTAGAACAAAATTAATTAAGATGGAATAGGATAAAGAAATTGTCAACAGACTTGTAACAATGGAAACAGCATCTTAAATGGTGACTGTATCTAATAAAAACACAATATGACAAATATGACTTACATGCAGAACATCTTTATATGGGGACAAATTTTGATGATAGCACCAAAGTATGTTTTCCAACTGCTGTGATGCTAAATGAAAATAAAGTAAAAATAAAAAAATCTACCTACAAATAAAAAAATCCCAGTCTTTACTGTCAAAACATTAGTTTTTCAATACCTGTGGAAGTAAATCGTTATGTTTTCACTTTTATCTCTCTCCCAAAAGGTATTAGCAACCTGTACACTTGTATTTTAGCTATTTCCAAATATTTTAAACAAGCAAAATCATTGAAACACTGACTTTGTAAGTTTTTTACACTGTTTATCTTTAATCAAAAAGAGTAACAAAACAAAACTTAGTTGTTATTCAGTGTTGCTCTGTTGCTCTGATGATGCTTGTTTTCTTACAGGCCCATTATCTACAGTGATAAATGTGTGTCATCTTGAAAATCAAACATTTGCATGTATCTCAGCAGTTTTAGAAATTATGTTTATTATCTTAGTTCTCTAACTGTGCATTTATTACTATTTCACAACTACCATAATTTACCAGTATTTCTCTATGGAAAAGATTCACAAGGCTTTATCAAAGAGCTAGATTTCAAGAAATGGTTTGAAAGAGCATCATACTAGTTTGGCTGGGATAGAGTTATCTTTCTTCATAGCAGTTGGCATGGTGCTTTCTTTTGGATTTGTGACCAAAAGGGTGTTGATAAAACACCAATGTTTTAGCTGTTGCTGAGAAATGCACACAAAGCTTCAAGGTCTTCTCTAATGCTTCCCCAACAGCAAGGAGGCTGGGAGTGCACAAGAAATTGGAAGGAGACAGAGCTAGGACAGCTGACCCCCAGCGAGCAATTGGATATTCCAGACCATACAACATCATGTTCCAAATAAAGAAATTGGGACAAAACTTGCCTGGTGATGGGAAGTAATTCACGCATTCCTATTTTGCTTTGTTGGCATGTGTGTCTTTTGCTTTGCCAATTCAACTGTCTTGGTAACACGATTTCTCACTTTTGCCCTTTTGATTCTCTCCTGTTTCACTGGGGGAAAGTGAGTGGCTCAGCTGCCTACCATGTCCCTGGAGGACATGGGTGACTAATACTCTTTGAAATAGGGAATCATATTTTGAAACCAGCAAAGACAGGACTTCTGCTAATTTTTAAACTACCAGAATAACAGGCCTTTCTACACCTAAAAACACTGCAAGTATTACATACACTTTTGTAAAATAATAACCCATGAAACTGGTTCAGACAAACATGCATATAGATATAGGTCTGTGGTTTTGGCATTAATAAACTAGTAAGAGTGATTATTTTCAGGCAGCAAATTGTGGCATTACATTTCACAACACACAAGAAAAATTGATTAAAGCAATCTTTAGCCCCAGATCCTGAAAGACTGAAACCCAGGACAGAGAGATAAGACTTAGGGGAATAAACAACAATATGATTGTAAAGGTAACACAATTTGTTGAGTATTTTGTAAAAGAACACAGCAATGTATTTCTAGACACAGCAGAGTTAAATACACCTTTATCCCTACCTCAGAGGTTTTTGTTAGATCATATTCCTGAAGCATGTTATTTTTTTCTTTACATTTTTATGTGGATTTCTTTTACTTCAAATGGCATATATTGGCAAAAAAAATTAAACAAAAAAGCAAAAATATTTTTCCTGACACTAAAAATTCTCATTTAATCTTTACAGTCCAGTTTCTCTTATTCTCCTTCAATATGCCTTAAGCTCCTTAGCTCTATATTCTTCATCTTCCTTTCACATTTTTAAGTACTAAATACATCTCTTCTTTCTGAAGATCTCACTATCTCTGCAGCCTGTTATCTTTCATCATGAAACTGTCTGTGCCCTTTCAAAAAATGTTTTTGTAATCCTAAGGAAATGACCTATAGATACCCCTTTATTTTCTTCTCAATGAAACCAAATTCTCTTCTTTGACACAGTCGCATGATTTCTATTCTACATTTTTCACCTACCTGCCACTATATCCTACTTCCTTCATGGCTGGAGAATTACTTGAGCATTTTCTGTATTTATGTAAAACGTCACATATACAATATTACTATTAACTTTGATGCAACTACAAATCTGTGCTTTTCCTAAGGTATAGAGCCTAGAAACACTATAACAGTCTACAGAATAAATCTCAAATAATCTAATTAAAGCTCTGATATGAATGGTAAAATTGATAACCACCAACCTGTGCTTTCCTCATATATGCTAAAGGTTCTTTAATATGTTCAGGTGGTGCTGCAGGATGACAGGGTGAAGGAAACCTTAAAAAGACAATATGGTAAACTTTAAGTATTTTGATGTTTTATTTTTCTTAATTAATTCTGTATTTGCAAACCTAAATATAACTTCTTTCATGAGAGCACTAGCAAAAACAGAAGTGTATGTTGATCAAAACTGTGTATTATTTTTAGAAGTATTTTTTCCTCATCCATTCTATGGATAGAAGTAAGATAACAATATGCAAGAATTAGTAACGTTTAAACATGAGTTCTTCTTGTATTAAAAATAATGCTCCCTTATAATTTCACATACTTATAAAATAATTACATTAACAAATCAGGTATTTAAAAAGTGTATTCACTTCACATCATGTCATCTTTATGATTCCCTGGAACTTTCCCTGTCCAAGTCATCACATTTTTTCAAGAGACAATATATATTTTTTAAAGGTCTCCTTTCAAAAATCAGTAATGAACATGTACATGTCCAAAGTAATTAGAAGGTTAAGTGAGGTACTGACTTAAGCAAAGTTGAATATCCACTCATAAATTGCATTATGACAAAATATAAAAGCTGGAACAAAAATTAAAAACTAAACCAAAACATTATTTTTCAGTAGTGATTCAGTGTTGCTCTGTGTTCCAATGAGTTTTTGCCAAGCATTACATCCAGCTTAATTTTAAGTGTCTCAAATGTATTTCAGGAAACAAAATTTACACATAGCTGTAATAGTTACCCTGAATTTTCATTTGTTTGAATGCATTCAATCAGTTCTTATCATGTTTTTGGGAAATCCTCCCCAAATTTCTTCCCATTTTTAACAGATAAGATCATTCTTGTACTTGCTGCAAATTTGTTACGGGCTATTCTGTCCCATTGTGTAAAATAGAATCAGTATCAACAGATTTCAGAAATGCTGTTTCTTGGCTTTTCCACAATGCTCATGAAATCATGGTGTTCATAGTTAATTTCAATTTTCAAGGGCAAATTTCATTATTTTGTTGCTTATTTCCATGCATTAGCCCTAGAGACAGGAAAATATTTTTCCCTGGAAAGATATGATGAAGATGAGTCCTCACTAACAGACAGAAGCATTTTGCTGAATTAAGTCCCACATACTACTAAACATACATTGTGCTAAACTGGTAACTCTAACAAGCTTATGTAAATTAGCACAAATAGATTTGTATACACATTTCTTATTTTATAGTTGCATTTATGACTATATCTGTTATGAAATTCACCTTTCCTCTGTGCCAGAATGTAAGGAAAAATTATGCTACCCAGAAGACTAATCTGAAGTTTGCTGAACAATAATAAAAAGGAAACTTGACTGATTTAACTGTTTATAACCATATCCCAAGCATGATGAGCACTGACCTGAGAAACCTAGAGATCCAAATATTAAAGATTTTAAAAAATAATTAATACAAAAAATATGTGCAATGTTGCAATAAATACCTCAATTAAAACTCATTTGCCGCAACTACCTCATTTACACAGAATTATATTATGACCCTTGGTACATTTGGAAGCAAAGCCAAAAGGAAAATACTAAAGTAACTACAAAATGTGGTGATACTTATTTCATTTATTCTTTAAAATGCACTTGAATCCAGTATTTTCATTAGGATGAAAAAGAAATAATGCCACATTAAAAACAGAAACTTAAGCAGGTACCCTTGCTGTGACAGATATTGCAGATTATAGTAACACACCATACACCTCTATAAACAAATGGATCAAAAGTAAATCATGTGAGTAGAACTCATTAACTGAACATACTAAATAAACTCACACATTGAGTTCACTATAAACAGCATTCTGAAGCTTCTTTTCCCAACCTGTTAAAATAAAAAAAAAATTTAAAAAACCAAAAAAACACCCCAAAAAAACCAACCAGAAGTTAACTTCAGGAATTAATACTAATGGAACATCAATCAGAGGTTGCTTTGCAGTCACTGGGGTTTTATGTCTGGTCTCAGTTCATGTCTACCTACCAGAGAGACAAGAGTAGGCAAAGAAATCTTAATCTAATTAAGATAGGAAAAGTGCAAGTCTCTTTTATAGAGATTGAATATCCTTTATTTCCATCTGCTGTTCAAATAATTGCAATATAGTTTTGGTTAAAAAATTTACATTCTATTTCTTCAATCCACCATTTTACTAAACCAACAATTAATATGAATAGAGGCAGCCTTCCTGATGATCATGAATCTAAGATCATTTATCATAAAATTCTAACATTATAGTAACATAGCCTACAACTTTCAATGCAAATTAGAAATTTAACTAAAGGTAAAATTTTCCAGAGTATCTCCATGGAAGTTAATTTCCATTTTCATAAGTGACTGAACTCTCACTCAGAACTTTCAAAAAAATCACCAGTATCTTATAAAATGATAAATGCACTTTGCATAGCATGTTTTTCAAAATGCAGATGGAATTCAACAACACTTTCCCTTTTAAATTTTCTTTATCTGATTTAATAATCTGGAATCACTGAACGTCTGCCTCTGGCTACTGTCAGTAACAAGACACCAAGCTTCACAAAATACTCTTTTCATCACTTATATCACATATGTTCTTACATATATATATCCTATTCAAAAATATATCAGTGAAATATTACAAACCTGATGTCTTCAGAAAATCCTTAATATCCTCTTTTAGAGATTCCAGCTTAATTTCTGGTTTGTGTAGGCTAACCTAATAAGAAAAAAAAAAAAAAAAAGCATCAAGAACTAAAGAGAAATTACATTATTCAAGTTATGAAGTAAGTAATGCACATGCTTAAGGTTACACCCAAAGCAAAGTCCTTCCTCAAGCAATAGCAGTCAAAAATATCAGTTAACTTTCTCACTCAATGTCTTTGCCTTTTTCATCAATGCTAAGAGGTGTCTGTGGGGAAGAACAGAGAAGAAAGGAGTAGAATATGCAATGAATGCATATAAACATAGATGTTTAATAATCTGAGCAAAGACCCCCCATACTTAGCCCAAATACTAGACTATACACATTACGGAATTGGTCATAAGGTACACATGGAAAGAACTAGAAGCCAATCCCTGTACCTTACCTGAAAGATTAAAACTGGAAACATTCCCTAATTTTTCATTTAACCTCACACAGTTCAGCTCTTTCAGGTAAGAAATGCCATCTTCAAACCAAAAAAGCCCCGACTGCATCAATCATTCCTCACTGCAGCTGTGACCAGTGGATATATACAACCTCTTACAATGAAATGCACTCAACACACTAACCTGCACTAACCAGCTTTACAACCACACCATGACACAACCACACAGATGGTGCTGCACATTGTTCAGCAACAGCAGGACCAGCTGCTACAGCATCTCCTTCTTCTACAGCTAGACCAAGAGGAGAAAACAAATACACCTCAAAGGTCCAAAAGGACAACCAGCAGAAACTCAGAAGTTTCTGTGAAATGCCTTCTAAGAAATATTTTCCTAAGCATGGTACACAGCAATAGCAGATTAACATCAGATAATAAAGCTAAAGGTTTAGGAAAAAAAAAAAAAAAAAAAAAGCAATGCCACATGCTAACTTGAAAATAACAGCAGAGGATCTGTGTGTCCACAGCCATGACAGCTCCAGGCATACGTTAGAAGCATATGGCCATATCATCTACGTAGAAATGTGAGCTATCTCTTACCAAAACCTACTCAACAACATGCTGTAGGCATATCAGCTACTGATTCTATTGCACCAAACTTTCCTGCAGCAGTAGTTTTAATTAGTTAATTAAAAATAATCTTTCAACAACTTGTGCAGTTTTCCAGCCCTAACAGCACTGCTGACAGCACAGCATGCTTTAAGTCCGTGGTACACAAATAAAACTCCAAAATCCTGTACTTTGCCTTACAGTTTATACATAGAAAAGGGTGCTTCTGCACTGGAAAAGTTGGTTTAGGTGAATTCACAATGCAGAATTTTAAGAAAACCTTTCAATTTTCCTCACATGAAAAGAGGAATGGACAATAATGGAGAGAATATCAGCAATAGCATTTCTGCTCTTATTTCATGTCCCCTTCCATTACAGGTAAGGAAGGCATTTATATTTGGTTTATTGACTGCAGTAGCAAAGAGACTATTTCTCATCATGCTTCTGAGAAAGAAAGGTCATCATAAGCACAGACCAGAAGGTGTGGTGAGTTGCATAACTCCCATGCCAAATGACAAACACGTATTCCATCCAGCACAATGGTAAAAGCTGCCAAAGGATGGTCACTAATATCTGGGAAACAAAGATTTTTATATGAGTTCTTGGGCAGCTCACGAAATACCCTTTTAAGCAAAAACCTCAAGGAGTATTTTGTGATGAATTCCTGTGATGAAGCTTCTTCTGAAGCTACTGTGATGAAAAGTCCTACGTCCTTTTTGTACATCTGTCAGGCTGAGGGCTTTCTCTGCTGCATGGCAGTGGTTTTGTGTGATTCCTGTAAAAATTTTAGATAAAGTAACACACATCAACAGGGCAGATTTTGCCATTCTGTTCTTCAGAAGTTTTCGTGCACACATTTTGTAAATGTTCAGGTTTCTCTTTGAGTTAAATATGACTAATTCTAATCTCAAGGTCCATGGGGTGTTTACCTGTCAGATCTGGTATGCTTTTTAAATATCAAAAAAAATCCCCTCACAAATACAACTCATTGACAGATGATAAATCACACAAGCAAAAAAGAAAGCTCCTGTACAATCTGCTATAAAATGGCTTAATTATCTCGACACTGAAAACAGTACAAGAAATGATGGAAGTGCAATCAGAACAGTATTTTAATTCTCTGCTGTTCACACACCTGTGAGCTCTTGGCTTATTAAGAAACATCTGACACTCCTATTGAAAACAACAGGAGTTTTTTTGGAGATTCCTGGAAATTCTGGAAATTGATACAGCATATCGCATTAGAAGGCATTAAGTAGTCCACAGACTACTTACCATTTTCCCTGTCAGGCCAAAGAACAACAGGAGTCTTTCTTTTAAACTGCTGTTCCTAACACAGCCTGTTCCCCACCTGCAGAATATAACATCCAGTGACTCTCCTGTATGCAGCAGAAAGGAAACAGGATATCATTGGGGAAATCTTTCTCCAAGGTTTATATTAGCGCACCAACCTACACTGGTTACCTTCACCTCTTCATGCCCATGTATTCATCAAGTATTATTTAATTATTCCTAGCCCTGCTGTAGCCAATGTTCTTAGGGTAATCTTTAACTTATCAAAATATCTATCTTTAGCACCTTTCCTGTGTCCTTTTTCTTTTCTTCGCTGAAAAAAAGCTCTGTTGAGACAAATTTTCACATAAGAAATGTGAAAATTCCACCCCCCACCAAATTATGGGGGCACTTTTGTCTCCACTTTTACCAATTCAGAGTTCATCTGCAAAGCCTACTCCCATTCATACTCTCCCTTTTGTTTACTTGTGTACTACAATCAACACATTCCTAAGTGCTAAGCCAAACAAGAGAGCCACAGAAACTGTTAGGGACTCATTGCCCACTGGATTGCTGATCAGTTTTCAAATCAGAAATTAGATACTTGAGAACGTGGCAAACAGTTCAGCCGGCAGCTGCAGCCAGCTCTAACACAGACCATATTCTACCTCCGTATAACACAACAAGGGAAAATACTCATTTTGGTAAGTGAAACAAACTCTCTTCAGAACGGTTTTGCTGTAACTTAACAGTATGGTACCTCTTTAGAATTTATGGGAACTAAATTGAGGAATCAAGGGGACTTAACAGAGCTGATGTTCCAAAATTATTAGTCCAGGTCTCACACATAATTTTGTTTTTCCTTTGGATTAACTGATCTAACTTATTTCTGTGTTGTACCATGTTGGAAAACACATTTAGGTATTTGTATTTTAGGTAGGGTAGTTTTGTTTTAAACTGCTGGGTACAACATATTGACTAAGTCTCATTTGCATTTTCATTCCCTGTGATTTTTTTGTAGAATAAATAAAAAATATGTTGACAAAATTTTATTTACATTTAAAAAAAAAAAAAAACTTTACTACAACTTTACATAGATAAAAATACCTGCCTCAGATTTATTGGGAGAAAACCCCACATTGATGAGATTTTTACTCATGAACTGAATTAATTCCCTGCATGACCAAAAAACAGCAAACACCCAGGTAGAACTACCAATTTCAACACACACATCTTGATGACAGGGTATCTTACTTCTATAAGAAAAATACTATTTGTTACTATAAGGAGACTATAACATGCAGGGTAATAGAGAATGAGCAATATAGGGGAACAATCCATGAAAGCACAGGGTGACAGCTAGAACAGAGAAAAAGTCAAATATTCACAGACTGGGTCAGGGAATATAGAGCCCTGAAAGGAAATAGGGATGAAATTCAAACATTTCAGCAAGAAATAACAAATTATTTCCCTGTAAAATTAGCATTGTGCATGATCTTATAGATAGGGCACCAAGGTCCAGGTGTGGGATATCGGTGTTCTCCACAGTCTTGGTCAGCTTCCTGTGAATCAAGACACATCTGTCCCTTCCACATTCCTTCACAGAACAAGCTATCATTACAGCATTTCTTGGCACCCCCCATTCTTCAGCTGTACAGAGCAGTAGGGTAGTTAAGGGACCTTTAAAATTTTGCCAAATTTGCCGGTGCCTAAGGTACCACTAACAATCTTGTGTGCACGTCTTTGATTTTGGCAAGGTATCCTGCTGAGATCTTGGCAGTCACCATTGGAAGTGATACTCTAAATGTATTCTCTCTGTACTTGGATACCAAGATGGAAGAAAATTAGACACTCAACACTGATGTGACTGAAAGGAAGCAAAAGAATAGCACAACAGTAAAATAATAAAATTGGTGGAAATAGGAAATTTATTCACAGAGGAACTGAACACAGAGCTCAACCTATTTGCAAATTAACATCTAAATATGAAAGTGGCATTCAGTGATCATGACTGGAGCAGCACTGATCATGCAGGAGATGATCCATCAATCACAGCACTCAAAGAAGTAAAGGAAAATAACTAGAGGACCAGCAACATACTACTAAGACAAGGCTTGACAGAACAAAGCGTTCCACCATAACTCCTGTGTTAAAACATTTCTTTTCTCAACAAGAATAAACACTGCAGAGAAGTGATCCAACTGTACTGAGATGTGGAATTGCATCAGGTGAACACATATTTTTATCCTGTTGCAAACAGTTCTGCAAATAACTTTACACAATCCTAATATTTTTACAGGCTATCAACCATAATTTCCCTTCAAAGCCTTTTTTGTTTAGATAAACATGTACCCTCTCAAAGCATTTATTACTGTTCAGTATATTTTTGCACAAATGCACAATGTTTTTTGGTTTTATTGCTATTATTTCCCAAAATACAATAAAACAGAATCCCCAAATATAACCCATCTTTAGCAGTAAATTCAATGAAAGCTAATAAATATTCACCATTCCTTATGTACTTATTCTACCAGCACTAACCAAGCTGACTTGGTGAAATCCACTTCAAGCACAACCACAACAATTTCAACGTAAATACTCACTAAAAACTTAAACCCCTGCAACTTTAAGGGAGAGACTTTAGTTTTGGTTATGCATTTCTTTAACAGAAAGAAGAATAATTCTGAGCCTAACGAAACAAACTTCAGTAAGAGTGAAACCCTGATTACAGTGACAATTTTCCAACCGTTCTACATTTCTACACGAACTACAATAAGGGAAAAAGTATTGTGAACTTTCTTATACAAGTAAAAATAACCTATCAGATACAGAGAGCTTCAATCAGCCTCATATAGAAGTAAACAGTTTCAAATGTTATGCTGTGGTACAAGATATAAGGCTATATTTTAATGGTATAATTTCAATGTTTAATAAATTTTCTAGTTTTGAATATAAAATCAGTGCTGAAAATAAAATACACACACAAGGCAAAAACCAGAATCCACATTACTAAAAAAGTACTACTCTGCCAGTCAAGCTTGCATTGCTTTTGAACTCCATAATATGATCAACACATACTCAACTGCATTCAATTTAAAATTCACTATAATGCAAATATTACTGCTGAACCACTTAAAACAAAGGCACAATCTTTATCAGCAGGCATAATAAAATCCTTTGCCAAATACAATGCATGAAAATGAACCATTAATTATCCATGATGACTCATGAGACTACAATTGTTTGCTAATTTTTATTAAATAAATGCTACATTGCACAGGAACATTCTCCTTCTTAATTTGATCTTTTATATAAGTTGAGATTGGTATAAATTTTTTTTTAAACTGGAGAAAACAATATGCTGAGACATCTTGCAAACCATTCACTCCACATAAATTGCTCAAAGCTTTCTTACCTACACTTTCTTTAGAAGCACAGCCAGGCTCCTACTCCAGCTCCCATTTTCCTAGCACTCCCAAAGCAAGTCCCCTCCTCCTTTGCTCCATCTGAAGTCTTGTAAAGACCCTTACCTCTCCCTTTGATCAATATTGTCTTTAAATCCTTCTGGTTCTATCACAAGTCTGCCCAAAGAATGGTGGCAGACTCCCCTCCCCTGACAGTGTTTCTGACCATGACATCTCCTCTCCAGCCTTCTTCGTACCTCCAGTACCTCCACCAATGTTCTCTCACTCCCAAACTTAATTGCTGCAGTGGGGTGGGATGGAGTATCAGACCTGATGTTTGCACTTACATTACCCGTTTTAGCCTCCTGTAACAGTAGCTATAATGCTTTTTTACAAGTTCCCCTCAGGTTGTCCCACTCCAGTCATACCTACAAGAAACATCTGAGAACATTTATGCAGACAATGCCGGGGGAACTCCTTGCGCTGTGAGTCTTTCTTGTTCCACTTAAAACATAATTTAGAACTCTTATCTTTCATTTAGAACCTTCCATTTTATTGTCACCTCCTGTCTTAGAAAAGTTCTTTAGGAATAAACTACTGAAGCTTTTCTTTGTTGGTTGGTTTTGTTGGGGTTTTTAAAAACTTTGTTATTTGCCCCTGGTCACTAGAGGTTCTGGGCAATTCTGAGTTAGACTAATGTCTATTAGAGGTCTGCATGGGACAAAAATTAAGATTGATTAATCCTAACTAATTAATAAAGCTCAACTCCCTTCAAAGATTATGAAAAAAGAAGTTTCTGAATTGGCTGCAAATGAAAATGTGCTAAAAAGGTAGCACTTTTTTCATGTCTCTGAACAGTTTCACACAATAAAATCTGTTCACTGACACAGATCTTCCCTAAAGCAGAACTTGAGTAAGATTTCACAAAATAATTTGCTTTAAAACTGTATTTTGTCCTTGAGATATCCATGTTTTAGTTTTTCTAAACACCTCTAATCTCTACCTTAAAAACATTTACAATTCAGAAAGGGAAAAGTTAAGATAAAAACAAGCAAATTTGATTACAAACTTGTACAGTGAAGTTGTGCCCAGAAAATGAGTTCTCTCCTCTGCTACCTCACTAATGACAGCAGCAATTCTACCTGTTGAAAAGTTAATATTTTGGCTCTTTGTCACTGTTACTCTTTCCATTCAAACACATTACAAAGTATGTTCAGAAGAAATTCCAAAGCAAGTGATACGCACATTAACACTCTTACCCACATCCATCTCTCTTATTAACTGCAGTAATGTATCAGTATATCAAAACTCAACCTATAAAGATCAACCTAACATTTATTTATTTATTCATTCATTCATCACTTACATGACACTACCTCTACTTCAACCCTTGGGATAAAAATGTGATTATCTTGGTATCCCCAGAGGTCAAGCTGCGACAGCAAATCATTTGATGCCCATGCCAAAGTTATTTCAAAGAGATTGTGTATCACAGCCCTTGACACCAGCTCAGGCTCCCAGTGACAGCCAAGCAAAGCACTGGTTTGATCAGTTCATAACCACAGGGCTACTCTATCACCACTCACAAATAATGTGAGGATACTGTGTTTTCCCCAAAATTCTATTAACTCATCAATGAAACTGTTCATTCTGAGTTATCCTTCCTAGCAAATAAAAAAAGAGACAAATTTACAAAATTTGAGTACAAATTTACAAAATTTGTCTCTCTGTTTGTGAGACTACATATTCTCTCAAAATTTCAGGGATTATTATAATGGACCTTAAGATCCATTTGACTGTAATGTCTTCAGAGACAGTAAATATTTTTTACAAATATCAACATCATTTTCTGCACTAAGAGACTAAGAATATTTGTGAAGTATAACTGCAGTATAAATACCCAAAACAAAAGCAAGTTTCACTCTGATGCACTGATTACAAAGACTTCTCAAAATACAGTGTGCATGTCCCAAAACACTTTAAAATCCCCTAAAAAAGGACCACCCTTCAAACTCACAACTTGTGCAGACCGAGCATTGTTAACCAGCAGACAAAAAACTCCATCACATCCTACCAATAAACTGGAGTTCAGGAGTGAGGCACAGCAACAGTTAAGATTTCCTATTTGACAGTGCAACTCCAGCAATACCCCACATAACAGGAGGAATATCAAGCATTAGCTTAATACAGAGTGAAGCAAAATTCAGACTTTCAGAATTCTGTACAGCTGCTCAGGGATGGGCAGCAGACCGGCCACTGACTGAGGGGCCCTTGCAACTGCACGGTATAGCATCAACATGACTGTCCAAGCTTTATAAACAAAACAAGTCTTCTGTACATGAAAGAACATAAATGTGTGCAAGGTCAATAAAAAAAAACCTTCCTCTATCAAGAACACAGATTCCTGGCAAACACAGTGTACATTTGGCCCTACTAATTTAAACCACAGTCTCCAAGAGATAATTTATTCGACTGAGAAATCCCATTGTGGATGTATCTATAAACTTTCAGATTGCTAAACTATATCACTGATTTAACCTGCTATTATAAACCCTTCAAACACAACTCTAAGAATCAGCTTGAATATTTGTTGCCCTGTTTCTTTTCTTTCCCCTTAGAACTTCGTATGACTAGAATGATCATGACCTATACAAACACTTTTTTTTTCTTCTCCAAGAAATCTGTAAAACAGTACTCTGCAAAGCCACCATAGCAGATACATTCTCGTGTCCAGCAGGGATTTAGGCACCTCACTGCCCTTTCAGACTCCAGACACCACCTTGGGAGGGCACTGGTCATGTTCTCAGCGTCCACCCGAACAAAATAGCTCCACAAAACAGCCACCCTCCCCGTTTAGCACCTTCTAAACACCCAGCCAAGTTCTGAGGACACCAAGCTTCCTCTTGTCTCAAAAAACCCATGCAAAGTATCAAGTGACTGTGAAATCAGACCCTGCCAGAGACAGGATAAAAGAATCCTGTTGAAGGGAGTGCATTCAGGTGTGTTACAAACAGGAACAGAGTGGTTAGGACAGAGCCCTGTTCACCACCCAGTTTGAGGACCAGGTCTGACTCTCCACTCCTCATGTCAGGCTTTTTAGGATACTCAATTTCCCAACATTTAGCAGAACCCAGCCTCTACACTCCTTCATAATTCCAGCCCCGTTCAAGTCATGTACATTAGCTTATTCAAATAATTAGAAAGGCCTGTCAACAGAAGCAAGGCAGACACACATTTATAAAAGCATTTAGAGACCAAATCAGTACATTTAAATACAAAACAAACAAGACAGTGTCACAGTGATGTCACTCGCTATAAAAGTTTCATAGAGGACATTCATAGAGGAAAATCATGTTTAATTAAAAAATGCAACAAAACTAATGGACAAATAACAGACATGGTATCCTTAAAAATATACCAAAAAACCCAAAAATAGCCCCCCCCAAAAAATCCCCAACCTGTATAATTTTAAGCAGTGTTTGAAAAAAAAAAAAAACCCCAAAACAGAAAGCACAAGATTAAAAAAAATCCAATCCAAAATATTTCAGTAATGCACAGTTTGTTAGAGCACCATGACTAGGTTATTATGATCCTGAAAACTGACGCAATTTTACTCTGAAACATCCTGAATTAAATTCAGCTGAAATATGAAAATCTGGCTCCAAGTGCAGATAAGTTATTAAATATAAAAAAAAGAGCAAAACTCTTATCCCAGCTACTAAAATTTACTTCCCTGCGTATTTTTTTTTCATTTATATTCACTTCCTTTCATCAAATCCTCATTTTCTCAGGGACACTAGGGGAGCGGGGGAGGGTGGGCGGAATTTAAAGCTCTCCAAATTAAAGATTAAAAAAGCAATTCGCTTCAGGACCTATATTTGAAGCGGCGAGATTTCAGACGGATAGTCTTCATATTCACTGCGAAATCCTTGGGCCCCAAGGGGACACACAATAAACACGGCTCTAGAAACCAAACACGCCGCTCTGCGGCCCCGCCGAGGAAGGAGAGGAGCGGGACAGGGAGGGAAGGAGGGTGGGGCCGGGGCCCGGACCCCCGCTCGTGAGGCGGCACCGGGGCCGGGGCGGCCGGGAACAAAGCGCCGGGGAGGGGCAGCGCGGCAGGGAGGCGTGCGCGGGGCACAGCGGCAGGGCAGGGCTCACCCGGGCCTGTCGCTCCAGCTGTGAGTGCAGGCTGGAGCCCTGCAGGCGCTGCACGACCCTGGCGATGGTGAGGGACAGCCCGCGGTCCGGCTCCAGCATCGCGGCCCTGCGCGGCCCGGCCGCCCTCAGCGCCGCCGCGTTTCCCGGCAACGGCGGCGCCGGCCCGCGGCTGCGCCCGGCCGGCAAGCGGCGCCGCCCGGAAAGGTTCCGCCCTCAAGGGGAAGGAAGCGCCCAAGGTGCTCCTGGGCGAAGGGAACGGCAGAAGTCAGAGGCTCCGCAAGCAATCAGAAAGTTTTATTACAAAACTACTGGGAATTTGTATGCCCTGACCTCCTATATAAGCACAGAAAGGAAGGAAGGAAGGAAGAGAAAGAGATGGCGAGTCTGGTCCCAGCGCAGCCATTCAGTGCCCGGGGTCCTGTCCCTTTTGTGGACAGGTTTCTCCAGCCCGAAGATTCCCTTTCCCGAGGGATACAAGTGGGCCTGTACTGATGCGAAGTTTTCTTTTGTTTTTGGCTATTTTAGCTCGTCTGCTGGGCGGGGTGAGGCGCTAGCTCAGGCTGGGTGCGGCGCTGCGCGCATCGCTGCGGCACAGGGAACTCCCGCCGCTTCAGCCGCTCCGATGTGCAGCAGCGACAGAACGTGTAATCAACATTTTACTTAATAAACTCATTTACTACGTCAAAACAGCCATTTTTAAAGTCCCAGAAGGATTAAGAAATAAGCTAAGACAGTAGATAAGGTGGAAAAGCTGATCGTTGACCTCTAAAGCATTAGAACCCATTTTCAGCTCTGCGGATGACCTCTGTAAAATAAAGAATGTTTCAAGATTCTGAAACATCAGGAGTAACGTTTTCACTGTTGGGAGTGACAGATATGAGGAAATTATAGATGTCATCAGTTACATCAATAGAGAAAACAACTGCATATAATAGGTATAAAAAATGCACCTGAACTCATTTGCAACCAGCTTTGACTTATCTATGAGCATTTCTGGATGAAATGAATTTTAAAAAAGAATAGTAATATAAGTTCAGAGCTTAAGTTCTTTAATGAACTGTAGAGAAATCTGGAAAAGTCACATATACTAATCAAAATACTGAGAAGAGGTTGCTTCTCAGTTCATGGAGAGCATGGGGAAATGAAGCATCCAGTTGCCCACCAGTGCCTTTAATATCTATTCTGATTTACATCAGGTTTTCTGTCACTTCTTTTCTTACATACATTTATGATGTTAGGGACAACAGTGAACACATTTTTTTTTCCTCTGTATTGACAGAGTTAATTATATTTTTGTCTACATTTCCAACTGAGCAAGTATACAAAATGTAATAACCTTCTGTGCTAGTTCATAAAAAGAGTCTGCAAAATGTTCCATACAGAGAGTACCTCACCTCATTTTGGTTTGTTTGTGTGGTTTTGTTTGTTTGTTTGTTTGTGTTTGTGTTTTTGGGGGTTTTTTGGGGTTTTTTTTGTGCAGGAGCTTCACTTGCCAAGGAAAGCACATGCAGAAAACTGGAGCATGACCATAAACTCTGCTGGTCAATAGCTGAAAGTTCAGAGTTTCACATTTCAGCTGCAAGTGTGAGAGACCCCTCCCTCCTTGCTTAGCCACAGGGATGGGAGCCTTATCTTGTGTTTGGTGAGCATGTTATTTTTCAGGGCAGCTTGATATGTGAGGACTCAGGGGCTGGGTACATTCCTGCTGGTAGCACAACGCTGTCTCTGGCTGCTTTCCCTGTGATCTGCAGGCGCCACATTTGGCCACAGGGCAGGTCATGGAGTGGGACAGAAGCCACAACACCTTGCTGATTAGAAGTGTGTGCTCCCCTGCTACTGGGGAGTATGGGGAAACCATGCATCAGGTGAGTTTCATGTGCAGTGCATAAGACTTTGCAGGTCTGCAAAAGCCATCCTGATCACTATAGGTCAAGAAAACAGGACAAAAAGCTAGTGTCAGCTGTAGATGAGTAACTTCCTGTAGTTGATTATCTCAGCTCCAAGGTTGCCTTTATAACTCTCTGCCTATGCACCCTGGTTTTTTAGGCTGTTTTCTTCCACTTGGTTTCCTTCCACTGCATTTCCCTTTGGTCAGTTACATCTCCAGTATGGGTAGGAAAACTTACTTCTTGTAAATGCCAATCCAAGCTTAAAAGTAGGGCAATATAAAGAGATAATTTACTGAATCTTACCGAGGGCTGTTAACAGCTTCTTGGGTATCCCTACCATATCTAGTTAAGAAATCTCGTGCTTAAGTGTGTGCTTCTTTTTTGTTTCCTTACAAGGAGTGTACTGCATAGCAGCTTGAGAAATACAGGGTCTTTATTAGAAAATATCACTTAAATAACAGCCATTGGCAGAAATCCCAACTCATGCTTTAGCCTGGTATCACACAACTGGTTTAACTTGGTTCCTGTGATAAGTTTTTGACACTTGCAACTTTTTCATCATGATTTACTTTTAAATTGCAAGTAAGCAGCTGCGTAGAGTGGTTTTATGATGTTCAGTACCACATACCAGAGGTAGCTTGTTGGTTTTATTAGGAGGTCTGGTGCAGATGTCATCGTTTTTCTATTTTGGGTTGTTGGTCTTTCCTTCTCAGTGTCTCAGTGTTACACCCTTGAACACCAGTTGTCTTCCCTTTGTACTCCTCCTCCATTCCACTGCAGTGCTCTACAGTGTTATACTGTAGTTTACTGTGTTTTGTGTCAAGTTACTTCACTGAACTGTACTGATATTGGTATCCCAAGTGTCTTTTATTAATGTGCCACAACAGGTCTGGAAAGCATCAAGAATCTGGAAATGGAAAGTAAAAATAACATAGTCAGTCAGCTTGGCTTTTTCCATGTAATATGGTTGTTGACCTAATATCAAACTAGGCTGTCTGCAGGTATCACCAAAGGAGGCAGTGCTGTTGTGTGACAGATAATGGGTGAAGGAAGACAACAAAATACCAACAAGGTCAATAAAACCCCAACAGTCCCAACCACAAAATCCCAGCAGTCAACAAAATCCCAGCACTTCCAGTCAGCTGCTCATGAGAGACTCTGCCTAAGACATTCACAACCCCCACTCTGCCCTGATCCCACCTCCAGCTTTCATCCTGTTCCTGTGAGAAATGCCAATCATGAAGTCTCCGCTTAGGGCTGCTGTCTCTGCCGGGGGAACAGGGGTGCAGAGGGGCTGGAGTGGGAGCACTGCCCCCTTACCTGTGCTGAGGGTGGTGCCTTCATGCACTCAGTGCTGGCAGGAAAAGGGAGCAAGGTGTGGTGCAGAGTAGGACTAAGCATGCAATCACTGGGACTTACTGCTGTGGGTGAGCCCCTTCCCTTTCCTTCGCACCCTGAGTGCCAAGGCGTTTAATGCTATCCAGGGAGAGCTACATATTGCATTCAGCCTGGTAATGCATCAAAAATACTGTGTAGCTCTCTAAGTTATTCCTTTTTTTTGTGCTACAGGAGACACTGCCAGGAGGATGACAGTGTGGGCAAACCCCAGTGGCAGTCAGGTCAGGTGTAAGGATGGCACTGTCCCAAATCAGCCAAGTGCCACAGAAACCCAGGTTTAGGAAAAAGAAAACAAAAACAAAAACAAGCAAAAAACACAACCAAAAAACCAAAACCAAACCAAAACAAAAACCCAAAACCAAATCAAAACCAAAAACAAGAACCTAACCCAACAACTTTCTATTTTCGGCCAAAACAAATGGATAACACATTAGAGGGAAAAACCCTAACAAGCTCAAACAAAAGCCACACACATCCTCCCTTACCCCAACAAACCTCCAAATCTTCTCCTTTCTTCAGACAGGGTACAGGATAAACCTGATTTTTTTTGTAGCTGGTTAGTGGTTTTTTTTAATCTAAAGAGCTACTCTTGTCCAAAACTTCATTTGTTCTTTCTACACTTGGAATAATTTTAATTTGTAAGGGCTTAAAATCCATTACCCCAGTCTTCCATTTCAAGCCATTATCAGCACTTCACCTGTGAACTAAAGTGTCAAGTTCCAATAAATTTCTCATCTAAGCAGGTACTTTCAGAGAACATCATATTCAGTCTTTTATTCAGTGTGCTCGCTCTTTATATTAGACAAATGTATATTAAAATTTAATATCTATTATGGGCCAATCCTGCAAACTCCTCTTTATAATATCCACTGGTTTCCTTGCACAGTCTTAATCATGATATATTGTTTGGAGCTGATAACAGATGTATGACAAAAGAAGAAAGATCTGTCAGTGACTCATCCTTTTGACTTTCAAACTTTATTCAAATTATCAAAAAGTGACAGTGTGTATTTTGACAAGTTTCAATACTTTCTTCAAAATAATCAGTTCCTGTGAAGTAATGAGATTTTTTTTTTTTTTTGCCCCAATACCACTGATGCAATCTGAAGAATGTAGAAAGTTTAGATGGTGTCTTCACTTATCAGAGCCGAAAACATCTCTTATTGCAGAATGTTGTCCATGAGAAGTAATACACTTTCTCTAGTGTGTGGCTGAGCTTGAGAGCTAGGCTTTTGACTACCAGCAATGTCAAGGATTATCAGGCTAGACTTAGGAGTTTCATGTTGCTCCAGTTCTTAATTTTAGGCAATTTCCTACCATATCTTGGCTTTAGATAGTGTAAGCCTCCCTAGTGAGGACCACGTATTTCAGGTCATAATGTCTGTTAATGGTACTTTTTGTAGCATTTCTGAGTCATAGCCATAACTGTGAGTTATCCGGTATGTAACAAAACTAACATGCACACAGTCCCTAGTTTTTCTAGTGTTATTAGATTTGGTCCATTTTTCATGTGTTCAATTATTAGTCAAGTGACATGGGTTTTAGCAGTAATATTCTGTATCTTCTGGTTGGTAAAATCCCATGTGTGCACTTGCCATACACGAAGATGTAATTATGGCAATGTAGGATTTCTCAGACTTAAA